CAGCTATCCTTCAAAACGTACACTTCCTTGAATTTTGCAATGCAGTTCTCCAATGACTACAAAAAATGCATATGCTGAAAGCGTGTGTGCATTACTTAAAACAGCACACAAAAGTGCATTAGAACAGGGAGAATTGACTGCAAAAATCTGCTAGTCAAAACTGCCTGCAAAAGCATGTACTCTGGAAGAAATTTGCACTAAAATGGTGGCCAATTTTCATGAGGGTGAAAGTGCGCCAGTTGTTGCAGAAATATGGAGAACTGAATTTTAGCCTGGAAAAATGAGAAACTGGCAGAAACCAAAATCTGCAGATCTGCCCATCCCTGGGTGTTTGCTTACCCATGAGGAGACTGAATGCCCAACCAGGGCTCCTGTGGATTCTCCTCCTGGTTGGCTTCCCACCCAAACTTGTGCTGGAACCAGAGATTTTCTTATTTCTGCAGCTGGTGGCTTAGAGGCCTAAGAAATGAATGGCACGGCCAAGCCCACAACTGCATTGCAAGGGTTTATGAGACCACACAGGAAGGAAAAGGAAGAGGTGCTGCCTATGACACCATTGCAACATGCAATACTCAAGGCTCTGCCAGTTCCATTTTGTGAGTTTAAAGTGCCCTGGTTTTTCATTTTTCTTTTCTTTTCTGGGGCTGTGTCTTCCTCCTCTCCAGTGCTCAGGTGCATATCTCACCAGATATATAAAGCAAACCTGTCTCTTCTCCCATCCCCAGAAAAGGCTACACCATCACAGCAAGATTATTTCCGGAGGTGAACTTTGGTCTTTCGAATTTCAGCTGCACCCTGTGCGATGCCAAAATCCGGTTCTGATCTCCTCAGTGGGCAAAGCGGTTGCATTGCCCTATACAGTGGTACCTTGTGTTACGTACTTAATCTGTTCCGGAGGTCCGTTCGTAACAGGAAACCGCTCGTAACATGAGAAGCGCTTTCTCTAATGGTGCCTCCCGCTGCCGCTGCGCTGCTGGAACGCAACTTCCGCTCGCATCCCAGGGCAAAGGTCACAACAAGGGGCATCTACAGTGGTACCTCGTGTTACATACCATCCCCTGTCCGGCACTCCGCTAACCTGGAAGTAGATGCTCCTTGTTGCGACCTTTGCCCTGAGATGCGAGCGGAAGACAGAGGAGAGGTGGGTACAGCTATGCCATAGATTATGTATTTTGTGGTTTTATATCTTGATTTTATTCTGTGAACCACCCTGAGACCCCCGGGTATAGGGCGGTATATAGATGATGATGATGATGATGATGATGATGATGATGATAATAATAATAATAATAATAATAATAATAATAATAATAATAATGGATCCACAGCTCTCTCTTTCTCCCAACGTACCATGGGAAGATTAACAGGATTTGCATTCAGGTGAGCTAGAGCTAAAGTGAAGGCATAAAATGGAGAATAACTCATGAGGAAAGGTTCACAAATAGCAGGCAATGACAAAATCATCATCATCATCATTCAGAAGAGGCAATGGTCTGCTGCAATATTTTCTGGAGAGGAAAATCACAAGGGTTTTTGAATAACGCTAGTACAGTATCAGGAACAGCCCTTAACATTCTTCCAAACTGCAACAATTGTTTATTTTACGTCACTTTCCGAGCCCTTACAGCTATGATGTGGCCTCGCTATGCGTATGATAGTCATGTGCATCGATTAGAACTGTGGCACTTTTATCTCTCAAAACAACAACTCGCTCATTTTCTGTCACTCGCTGATGTCAGTTCTTTTTCCTCTAAGCAATGCAAGAAGGGGCCGAGCCATATGACGGTGGTTTGGTATTCTTCTAACAAACCTTTCAAAGCATCCACTGTTCAAATGCTCCACTGTCTTTAAATATAGTACATGAAGCAGTAGCAAGAGGGAACGAAGAGTCCATAAACAGTGTTGCAGCTAAAAACTGCACATCTGCTACCTGCTTGGTTCTCCAATGACTTTTTATTTTTTAAAAAAATGTGTAGGGTTGTATTTTGTGTGCGTGTGCACATGTGTACTTGTGAGTGTGGTGTGTACAGCAAGACAGAGAGATCCTTGCTCTGAGGAATTAACAATCTAAAAATTTAATACAGGAGAGGCAGTAGGCAAGTTTACCGCCAGATGACGTGTTTGCCTTATTGTGCGCTTCTACTTAACAGTAGCACAAAACTTGAAAAATCCCGATACTGTTTCTTGGCTGTCCAAGACCATGGCAAATCACATATGTAGAAGAGGAAGGGTGGCAGACAGCCATGTGCTTACAGCGTTTCTAACTTTCACATGTGTTAAAGCCAAACACAATTTTATACACAGCAAGGCAGAGTCACAGAATTTATAAAATTGTGCAATGATTTCTGAAGAATGTCTGGCATAAAATTGTATCCAGGAAATCCCTGTAGTTCTTGAATAGCTGAAGTTCACAGTAAATAGCATTCTGTCTCAATAATTGAGTTTCTATAAGAGCACAAATCTGCTTCTAGAGCGGAGTATTTATTTATTTTTAAATTGCCCAGTTCTGTTGTTACATCAAACCATTGTTTAGTGTTACAAGAACGTGTCCCGCCTCCACTGGGCTTAAGCACTCCCCTTCTCCTTTAGTGCTGCTGCAAGGAGGTGATTGGAAGCTTCCACTTATGTTTTAGAGTAACAGCAGTTTAGTGTGTAATCCAAATCCTAAACTGTGGTTAACGTTAACTATGGTTAGCGAAAGCAAGATGACTTTATAAATATACCACCAATCAATTTAAGACTAACAGCAATATGTCTGGGTTTTGAGGCACAACAAAGTTCATTTCACCACAGATGGAAGAGAAAGATTCTGAATTCCTCCAGTCAGACTGGAGAAAGAGGAGTAGTATATGAGTTTGGCAAGAGGCTAGGTTCATCCTTGGAATGCTAAGCATTGATTTAGCCTAGCATCCAAACCAGCCCTGCCTTAACTGTTGTTTTGAAGTGAAAGAACAAATAAGTGTTTATAATTTAGCAGCAAGAAACTTGAAAGAAAAGATCATTGTGTTAAGCCCACATAGTGAATCCAATGAATTAGGTCCAGTGTCTTCATGCAATATTGTCAAATGGGAAAATGCATTGGGTCAGAGAGAAAACAAAAATATTATTTGCTATATACACGAAGAGTGTTGGAGATAAACTAATGTTAAAGATGACCATATGTTTGTGCTAGAGACCTCCAAATCCTATTATATGCCCAAGTTTGGATTAAGTAAAAAACCCATGTGCAGCAAAAAAGGAAATCAAACAAATGGTACGATGTAGGAGTAATCATGTGTATTGTTTGGGTAGATGATTCTCTTCCAAGCCCTGTTGTTTTGCCCGTCTCATAGCTACTAATCTAATTTTCATGCCTTCTGTCTCCTCCATCACTGTGTTTTCAAGCCCGGATGTCTTAGTGTTTCCCCTTTTCACCCACAAGTAGATATATAGCTGACATATTTTGTAAGTGGCTTGACCTAGTTCTAGCAGATTACTATTAAGTAAGTGTTAATGGTAATAATTAATTGCATATAACAGTCACCAATGATGGGATATTATTGAGTCATCTGATTTGGCACGATTGCAGCTTTTTGACTCTGGATTTTCAATGTCTTCATTTGCAAAACTGCATTTTTTAAAACTCAGAATGGAGTCCTAGTTAAGCTGCATCATTACCATAAGATGCTTTCTGAGCCACTGCGTTTTTCAACCTCAAAACAGATATGAAGTTACTCTCCTTTCACAATCTATAAACCATTTTGAGAGCAATTTCCCTTATTTAATAGGGGTTGCCGTTATGCTTGTGATTCTTTAATTTAAAGTCAAACACATTAGGCTCCCAAATATTAAAAATGATGGCAATTGAGAGAAGGGAAATTGGAAGGCTAGTACAGGCACTCCCAATGTGGAACATCTGTAAGGGATGGAGGAATATGGTACATGACTGTTCACTTCCAGCAAATACAAGCTGGTATACAGGACTCCTGACACATCTAAAAGTAGCGCAGAAGAAGGAATTCATGGCAAACTACTCCTGCTGAAATTCCCTCTTCTACACAACCAATATTCACCAATCTGATGCTATCCAGATGTTGGACTACAACTCCCATCTTCCCTGACCATTGGCTAAGCATGCTAGAGCGAATGGAAATTGAAGTCCAAAACATTGTTTGTGTGCACGCCAAAATGGGGGAGACTGTACCCAACTATTAAAAGGTGTACGAGCCCTGTCCCCATAGCTTATATTCGTCAGGGAATGGGTCTTGAATCTGAGGTCCAAGTCAACCTCCAAACAGGATCTGAAACAGAAAAGGATGGAAGTCTGGAAAAGGCACCAATCACATGAATGCAGAATTCCCCAAGAAAATTTGAGTGGAGAGACCACAAGGGTAGAAAAGGTCATAGAGGAGATTGACTGGAATGTCATTACTTATAATTGCCAACTGCCACTGATGCCTAACTCACATAACAACTGTGTCGTTCCTTTAGACATCTCCCAGTTTTGCATTATGCTGTCTGTCTTACATGGGCCTGCAGTCAACTTTCAGGAGCGGATTGGTGATGTGGAAAACCTACATGCCAGTGAGTGAGGGGTTTCCCCCCTTGTTCTAGTACCTAAAGTACTTCTGGTACCGGGCCTATCCATTCTAGTTCTTTTATAGTAAGAATGGTCAACTACACTGCTCCCTGTATCAGGAATGCAGAGGCCAGTCATGGGGTGCTGGTGAATGAACTTGATTCAAAACCAGATGGTTTTGAGTTGGCTTGCATATAATCCATCTCCATAGCTGGTGCACGTTTGTTGCAGTAGTCCATGTGTGCAATTAAATACGGCTTTTCAATCCTTCACACATTTTTCCAGTTGATCAACTATACTATTGAGCCTTTCCCTACTCTCTTTCACATTGCAGATCTCCAATATAGGTTGCCAGTAAGCTCAAATAGACCATACAAAAGCAGGTTGATTAAGCACAGGGCAATGATGGAACTAGCAAAGTATATCACAGCACGGCTATGAATGAATGTATATTATTTACACTTTTATTTAAACTCTTTTAACAATACAACTTTTCAAACATCCACATATTTATACATACAGCTGCTTTGCATATATATATATATTTATATAAAAATATTTTTCAAGAACCTAAAGGAGTTGAGGAGACATTATTGCTACAAACCTGAAAATATCAAGCTGCTGCAAAACTAATTTTTCAAAAAAAATTATAAAAATATAACTTTTCAGAACATTTAAAGGAATAAAGTCTTCCATCTAAGTGCCAATGAAGTACCGCGGTGTGGAAAATTATTATGCCTTCCGACAGCTATGGGAGCCAAAAAGGTGTTGGAATTATCCTTAGAAGTTGGGGGTCAGGTGCAGGATAGAAGCCAAGGTTTCCGCATTTTCAGAACAGGAAGATGACCTGCATGTGCAATGAGAACACCTGGTGCATTTTGGGAGAGTTTCCCTTCGCAGAAGAGAATGGGAAACCCCTGCATATGTGGATTTTGGACTGAGCCCTCCTTCCCCCAAACTTCGGAAAGGTGCAACAGCGTAAATAACTCCAGTGCAAGTGTCTACCGTGAAGACTGGCTAGCAAACATCTGGAAATAGAGCCCCAAGTGACATGGAGGAAAACGTAGCGATAGATCAGATCATACAGTAAAAGTGAGTGGTATAATTTGAGGAATCCAGCAGTGTATTTTATTTTTTAAATTATCTTGCATTTGGGTGAATAGCTACTTCTAACGAAACAATGTAAACTCAACAAAGGAGTGCTGAAATAACAGGGTGCTAAAACGCTGGTGTACTATAAATAAATAGCTATTTCAAAATTGGTCTATTACCCACATGCCTTCTTCTAGATTTTCGCTTTTTTGTGGAAAACTGGATCTTTTAGAAAAAAACAAAGGGTCTAGAATGTTTAAGCATCTGTTTATGGTCTAGGACAATAAGGATGTATTCTGGAACAACAGTAGCAATATCGATATGCCATTCCTAAATCTACCTGCCTGCTATACTCCGCTTGGCTCTAACATGAAAATCCACAAACCTCAAGCAAGTCATTTATCAAGTTATTTGTCATCCCTGCAGTACATAATGTTACAGAGGGATAAGCCCTTCCCCAGGAAATGGTTATGTGGGCCTCTACAGAAAGCTTTCACGGTTGTGTAGAAAAATGCAACCAGAAGATACTTGGGGAAGAATAAGAAGGGAAAGAAAAGGACTTTTACAAACAATAATCACGTTTATGGTAATAAAAGCTGTGAAAAATGAGCAGCTTTCTTCAGAAGGTACCTAGTTCATACCATTAACACCTTGCCTAGTCTCTGATCAGACTACAAGAGCTTTACAGAGAACATAAAACTGTATGTTGTGAAATGCAAATAAGACACATTTCTTCACCAGACTGAGAAGCAGTAGTCAATGGGGACGCAATTATTTTGATAACTTGGATATAGCCACCCAGCAGAGAGTTTTCTTCTTCCTGGCATATGCCGTAGAAGAAATGGGATGCAGAGACCTTCCAAGGTAGATGAAGCTATGAAAAATAATTAAAACCAACAGCCACTCACAGGTTACAAACTATAGGTACATGTACATGAATGTGAACATATGCATTCAAAAATGAAGCATGAACATAATCTTCTCTCTGCGCCCCACCCACCCATGCCCCAACCTATCTTCGACCTAGAATGCAGAAGCACCAAGAGGGGGACCAACCAGGTGAGAACTGCCACTCAGATGTTGCTAGACTCTTTTCTGCCATTGGCTATGATAATAGGAACTGGAAATCTGGAGGGCCTCAGGTTCCCCACCCTTGTCCTAAGAGGTGGCCCAACATCTCAGGTGCTCAAGTTGAGGTGCTACAATATTCGGGGTCTTTCCATTCCCTTCTGGTCAAGTGGTCTATTTTGCTCCAGGATTTGGAATGTTATATGTTTTGCTTTTTGCTTGCATTTCTAACATTTCAGGGGTTGGGAAAGCAATGGAAATCGATTCAGATATCTGCATTTATTCATTTCCAAACATAAACACCTATTTTCTAGAATCAGAGCTCTCGACGTCTGGCATTATATATAATATATACAGATAGATACATCCAGCGGCGGAGGAAGCAGAACCGGCACCCGGGGCAGGGCAAACCACCTGGCGGCGCATGCGCATGACATCCGTACAGCACATGCGCGTGCCGTATGTATGGTGACAGGATTCTCTGCATGCACCTGCAGCGGAGGGATCCCACTGACGGCGGCGCATGGTTTGTTTGGAGGAAGGCACTCAGAGATCAACATGTCCGTATCCACCCCCAGCAAGTGCGCACACGCAGAAAAATGCCGGGCAAATTCAAGTGCATTGAAATGCAAGCGTGCATTCACCTCTCCTCTACGCCCCCCCCCACGAGGAAGAGAAATGGGCAAGACTTTGTACCTATTTTAAAAAATCTGCAAAAGCAAACGGATCCTCGTTCTCCTATTCCTTCAGGCAATACCAGTGCAGAAGGAGCTGCTGACTATGTGAAGAAGTCTCTCTCTCTCCTGTTTCAAGTCTGCAACTCCTCAGGGATGGAGGAGGAGGAGCCTCTTTTTATGCTGCCATTTTCTCCTGGCCCTGAACTCCCCACACTGCCAACTGCACATGGGAATGACACAATCCAGCCCAGAGCAAAATAAGAATATTTTTTTTAAAAATGCAAACAATTCAGGAAGGACGGAGGAGAGTCGGGCTAAAAGCACGGGTTGTTTTTTGTTTGCTTTGGGGTTTTTTGGATTGGCTACATTGGCCCCACTTTGTCAAAACACCCACCCATCCGCAACCTCAAAATGCAAGCGAAAGGAAGTTAAACAGCAACAAGGTGCCTCCTCCGCCGTGTCCATTCCTACACAGAGAGAATGCAATTGGAAATGGATCCGAACGGGGGCAGAAAAGGGGGAGGAGAAAAAGCAGATCAAACATTTCATTTTCTTCCGTTTGAATTCAAGCAAGACTTGAAATAAGCAGAGACTTCCTCCCCGAAAAAAGAGGGGTCCCCAGCACCCAAGGGCTGAAAGCAATTGGATGACGAGAAAAGCTCTCGCAAAAAGTTTCTCATGTCTCTTTCTCACTGAGTGACAGATGCCTAGACAGATTTCTCTTTGTTCCTAAAGAAACAGGAACTCACCCTCTCCCCCCAATAGCATGCGTTACCCCGGCTTTCCTCCAAACAAATCTACACCCTCCCCCCAAAAGCTGTCATTTTACAAGCACTTGAAATCAGGTTACATTTCTGTTTTTTAAAAAGAAACCTAAATTTACAGAGTCCAAAATCGGTGGGGAGGAGTCTGCAAAAGAGAAAACTGGGAAAGTTGCCATTTTGGGATCAAGAGGGAACAGAAGCATGTAAAAGTAAAAGAAAGCAGGTTTGGGAGGAGAAACCTTCGAAATCTTTTTTTTAAAAAAAGGTTTTTTGTGTGTGTGTGTCCTTTAAAGAAAGCCAGACCCGGGGGGGGGGGGCAGCAGAAGCACCTCCATTCAGAGAGAAAAGGCAGGAAAGAAGTTGGATCTCTCTCGCAATGTTGCACTGAACGTTACCGGAGAAAAGATCCTCTTCCCAACTCCCTTGCCTCTCACTCACTTTTGCATAGCTGAGTGCCTGGAAAACATTTCTGGTTCTGCCCTCCTCTCGCTTCTTTCCTCGTAGTGCTTTTTTGTCCCCCTTCTCTCCCACCCACCCCGCTAGAATTTTTATTTTTATTTTGGGGGGGCAAAGTTGAAGTGTTTTTGCAAACACTGATCGGATACTCTCCATGCACACACACAAACCACCCGGTTCTCCACGAGGGCGCTCCATTCTCTGTACAAAAACTCTTTCCTCTTCCACTGTCCCCCCCCCCTGCCTGCGGCGTTTTCCCTTTTGAGAAAACAGTTGCGGTTTTGCAAAAGGAAAAACCAAACTCCCGAACCTTCTTACAAGTGCTTCCAGCCTTCAGATGCCCCACACGCTTTTGCAAAAAAGGAGATGGAAGAAAAATAAGAACTCCAAAGTTTTGCCGAGCAAAAAGAAAGAGAGGGGTGTGTGTGTGGGAGCTGCACGTCTTTGTCAGCAAAGCCGACCAAATTTCATCCTCTCCCTGCGTCCTGCCTACTCCTCCAGGCTCCAGCCAGGACTCAGGAGTGGGGGCAACTGCATACCGACCCCCCCAACGCAACTCCCAAGTATCCAGAGCTGGGGGCTGGGCTGGGAGAGGACGAGCTGCTCGCTGACAGCGAAGGGTGCAGCCGCGAGGGAGGCAAGGCGCTCTACTCTTCGCTTCTGCCCTGACAGCAAGAATTGGCACTGCCCCTTTAAGAGGGAGCCTGCAACGTCGCCACCTCCTACCCAGTGCAAGAAGGAAAAGCCCGATAGGTGGGAGGGGGAGAGAAATGTGACCTAGGCTTGTAGCGCGCAAGAGAGGATCCTTCACCCGCGGCTGCAGGCACGATGGCACCCCCGTAGGGTGCCCTCTTGTCACCCCTTCAGAGATGGCACCCGGGGCGCTCCGCTCCCCCCACCCCCCCTCTTCCTACGCCACTGGATGCATCTCTAATCCATACCAAAGATTTTAAACAAGTTGTTTTCCCACTCCCAAATCTGGTTCTACACTACAAACGCATTTAACATAGCAACTATACACAGATTCTAGCAAACAGTGTAACAACATTGTTAACCGTGATGGGTAACCTACTTTTGTTTTTAACAGCATGTGATTTTCAAAAAGAGAGGTGGGGGGGGGAAACAGAGCAAGAATATCGCTGCAACGTTCCTACTACCCTCAGCGTAGTAGTGAATACGCTGCGAACAACCAGTAGTCATTTCGAAACAACGACAGTAGCTTCTTCATCAAGGCTGGGCGAGTCTCCTCTCAAGCAACTTCGTGTGTGAGCAAGGGCTGAGTCGATGAAGCGCTGCTGCCCACCGAATTTATTCGCACCGAGTGATCTGGAGCGTTTCCCTGCGTGCAAACGCCACTTGTAACGTTTGAGTAAATCTGGAGAAAGATACAAGAACACGATCAGTACTGGACGACCGCAGTGACAACAAACTACCTGCCCCATGGATCGCGATTACAAAAACTTGTGTCACGACCAATTGTTTGTTATTGGATTTTGCTCCCATTTACAATTGTAGAGATACAGTGGTACCTCGGGTTAAGAACTTAATTAGTCTGGAGGTCCGTACTTAACCTGAAACTGTTCTTAACCTGAAGCACCACTTTAGCTAATGGGGCCTCCAGCTGCGCCGCCAGAGCACGATTTCTGTTCTCATCCTGAAGCAAAGTTCTTAACCTGAAGCACTATTTCTGGGTTAGCAGAGTCTGTAACCTGAAGCGTATGTAACCTGAAGCGTATGTAACCCGAGGTATCACTGTATCCCTTAACTTACTTTATTATTTTATTTATTTGCACCTTTGCAGGAACTTCCAAGCATCTTGCCTGGATTTCAATTATCGCTTCACTCCATCTGTGAAAGTGTCAGGGGTTTCTACATGGCACATCTCCCCATCCAGACAAGCATCGCCGGGGGTTGGACTAGATGACACTTGGGTCCCTTCCGACTGTACAATTCTATGATTCTAAGCTAGAGGCATTATTGCAATTAAAGACACCTTCCAGCCACACACGAAAACTGGATCAGAACCAGGGGTGCATTTTGTCCATAGACCTGAGGTTCCCCTCCCCTGATACAAACCAAAAATGGCTTTCAAATTTGTTCCGTTTTTTAAAAAACCAGTAAGCTTTGGATTTAGTGGGAAAAAAGTACAGTGAACATCATTAGATGGAAACATTCATAGGCTTCTCACTTCAGTCTAGATTATTTGATCTCTTTTGATCCATAAGGATCTCCAGTGTGACTTACATAAAGTTTAAAAGTGCCTTGGAAGTGCTTCCATGCCATCTAACTGCTCTGGGGTCACCACTCCACAAACCCCAATTCTCATTAAGAAACTGTGGCTGTCCCCTTCCAATTTTATCCCACTTGCTGTCCCTGATTTTTTGGTCAGTTGTCTGGCTGTGTACTTCCCCTCTACTCTGGAATATCTGCAAGTAGCCAATATGACAACACAAGGCTTCTAATTTTGAGCCCAAATCTGCTAAGTGCCATTCCTGAATCAAGATATACAAAAACAGGAACGGTATTTGGTGACAACTTTTTTTCATTTCTACTCTTTCAAGCAACTGAGAAAGGCATTTAATGTAGAGGAAATTGGGGGCAGGGAGACCCATTTATGGTGCGTAACGACATTAAACAAGGGCACTCAGCACCCATCTCCATCAAGAAGGCAGATTGAAAGGCTCAGTGCTTACATGGTTTGTGGTATCTGAAATCTGCTGCTCAATCAATTGTACAATTTGCTTAAAAGTCGGCCTCTTCACGGGGTCAGCATCCCAGCAGCTCTTCATTATCTCATACCTGCAAATGCGGTCAGAAATTTATCAACTGAGATTTCAGCAGTCGGTGAAATGTTAAGTAACATGTAGAGCAACGATGAGCAATACGGCATCAAAATGCATACTACTTTACTGCACAGTTTTTAAAGCAAACCACGTTTACTGGAATAAGTAGAAAGATTAAAAAATATAGCGATTGTGTGTGGAATCCTAAAAAGACAACAACAACCTGGTGCTGTATGGTGGCCTATGTCCTCAGTTCTGATCTTGCCTTGCCATATATTTGAGAAGCCCCCAATTATATTCAACCATGCAGGTACTGTGAGTTGATATGCCTTTGTCATCAAAGGATATTCTATGGAACATCTCAACTTCTTTCAAAACCTATCTCTCATAGACACCTCACTTTTCTGCTATCAAGTAACCCTAGCCCTTTGTTCCCATCCTCATTCTTTATTTAGTGCACCCTTCCCATTCATGCTTTTTGCTTCTGAGCAGAGATGCTAACCCATCGAGATCTATATCCATGGTCTAGCACACTGTCGGTGGGAAATAAAGAGTAGGACTTATAGGAACATCAAATCTTGAAGACCCTGCTGTCAAGGTCATCTGACATACAAGACATAACTGGCTGTACTTTTGAATAAATAAGGTATACTATTCATTGTATCAAATTGTAGATTCCAACGGAAGTCTCATAAAGTTCAATGAAAAAAGCAGATGATCCAGTGGATCAGTTCATTCTCTAGTCAATTCATGCATAAGGTCCATACATGTACAAGTGCCTATTCCACCTGTCTGTTCATAGAGTCCAATAATCCACACGAAGGGTTGTTACAGTTCCACAGAATCCTTTCACAGAGTCTAATAGGTATAGGCAAATAGAAATTTGATTCTGAGCACTAGAGAGAATGTACTGATCTACTTGGTCTTCTGCATTTTTCGTTGAACTTTATGAGACTTCCGTTGGAATCTACAATTTGATACAATGAATAGTATACCTTATTTATGCAAAAGTACAGCCGGTTACGTCTTGTGTGTTTACTGAGTATGTTTCACATAACCAGAGGTTTGTTGTTGTTATTTTGCTAAGGTCATCTGACAGTCATGGCCTGCTGGCTATCAACAACATCCCATCAGCTATGACGAGAAAATCAAACTGAAACTAGCTAACTTTGAGATACAAAATTTCACGAGTTTGTTTTCTCTGATCATCATCATCATCATTTGCTTAATTCGTCAGTTGTATAGATCTAATGCTTCTGTGATCATGTTGCACCGGTTGCAAGTTTCAAGACAGGTTTGGAAGTTCATCAGCAATGGCTTTCAAAATTTCAAAAGGACATGTGGGGTGTCATCTGGGCAGGACTTCTAGGGGCTGCAGTGTAGTGAGGAGTCCAGTCTATGTTATTTCACCTCTCCAAAATCTAAGTGCAATTGTTCAAAGGAGCCATCACCTTAATGCTAGAACATGCGGCCCTAGAGAGCTGGACCACTGCTTGGGCTATCCAGAGCAAAATTCACAGATAATGTGCTTCATTTACTCACACTGCCAAATCTAGATTTTCTGGGTGCATGCTTTGGGTCATATTGTGGCTAGATTTTCTTTTTCTATTTTAAAAGAAATTTGAGTACAGAGCATAATGCAAATTAATATCCCAGTCTTACATGCATGTATGTGGGACATCAATCGTACTGATTTCACTGGGGCAAACTTCCAAGTAACTGAATCTAGGACCAGCAGTTAAGGCAGTGATAGGGGATTTTGTAAATATTCAGTTGCAGTTTATTTCATGACTACAACTTTGAGCAGGAGAACACAAATACACTGCTTAAATCAAGAAGCTTAAATCTAGAAGTTTGACATTTTCCACTTCAACGTTGTTATAAATTTGGCCTCTCACATTTCAGCAGGTGCAAATTCTGGAGTAAACATTCTGTATCCTTCCTTAATCCTTTTATAGAACTTGGAATCCACAGGCATTCCAGGATAGGGACTGCTTCCTGTTAACACAGAGCTGTCTGTTAATATATCATATCAGGTTTGGTTAAATGTGAGAAACAAAAGATCCAAGAAGTAATTGTTGTAGTTCTGTATAAACTACAAGAGTTGATAGCCATATGCGTCTTACCTAGAGAGAACAGTTCCCAAAGCAGGATTCCATAAGACCAGACATCACTCTCAAATGTGTACACACATTCAAAAATGCTTTCAGGTGCCATCCATTTCACAGGAAGTCGTGCCTTTACAGAGAAAGGAAGGGAAAATGAAAAATGAGTGCATTAAGTGGGCAGGCAGGGGCTGAGCCAACCCCACTGCCATTGTAAGACTACATCAGGCCTGATTTGGGTCCAGTCACTGTGCCACCTCCAGACTGGTTCAGGGATCTGATTGCTCCTTCAACTTCTGCCCTGGCCAGCTGGGCTGCAGTCGTGGGTGCATTGCTCCATTAAGACCCGCCAGCAGCCAGCGATAGGATTGCACAGCTCATTGAAAAAGTCATTCCTATCAGAAATAGCAGCTATAGAGATGGGCATTCATTGCCATAAGACAATGCCGCCAAGGCACTGGAAAGGGATCATTTCAAAACCCTTTAGGTAGGAGCTTAATCCAGGTAACAAAGATGGAAGTGATATTATCGCCAAACTCTGAATATAATTGCACGTTGTATTAATTAACATTATTTTTTAATATATTAGTGGCTATATGATAATTTTAGCTTATAAATTTTATTGTTTAATGTCTTAATTTGCATATTAAGGTACTTTTATAGCTCTGTTTAGAGTAGGTAATGTCTTGATAATATAAATGTTTTAAGTTTTTTGTATCAATCCAGTATATTTTCTTTTAATTGTTGAATGTTTCTGTGTACATTGTGGCAGCCTTTGGCTATGTGCAATAAAACTGACTGACTATATTCTGAAATGCTTAGAACCCACCTAGAGGAAAATCCCTGGCCTGCTTCTACAAAAATGTAGCCAAACTTCTACATCTTTTGCATTGAAAGACAGCTAAAGGAAAGACAAATCAGGCAATCATGGCAACCAAATGTACTCAGTATTGCCTATATCGGTGGTGCCTTAAAGTTTTCTAGGACTCCACCCTCCCATCAGCCTCAGTCAGCCTGGCCACCATTGAGGGATGATGAGAGTTGTTGTCAACAACATCTAGAGAGCACAACGTATCGATTAAAAAAGAGTCACAACACACTTAGCCATGATGATGATCCTATTTATCCAATTGCTGTTTTATAGTATCCCACGGCTATGCTACAATGTACTTTGTGTTTTTATTTGTTCAGAGTAGTTTGAACCGTTTGAAACTGTTTATAAATACAATGAAAAAATCTTATAAAATAGAAACAACCTAAGGCCAGTATCCCAAGAGCTGTATTACTAGTTTTATGGATTCAAGTGGGTTTTAGGTATGTATTTTGAACAGCAGGGCCCCAGGCCCCTGCAGGGACTTTTCAAAACATTTTGTGATATAGCTAAGATCTTCCTGTTAAAAGATAGTAAGTCAGACATCCCAATGGATTCTCCAATGGGCTTGATTAAAGCAGCACCTTAAAGCAGTCGGTCTAACTCTTAATGATGCTGTAGCCTATATAATTCCTAAATGATTACACGTTTCTAGTTTTCTCATCACAAAGCAGTTCGTTTTATCTAATGAAACCCCTTTTAAGTTGGTTTTGGTCATTAGAGGGCAATCTTAGGTTAAAATCACTGCACTTCAAAGGATCACGTTTCATCAAATGGCTGCCATTGTATGGTACAACCACAATTCATTGTTTGGGTTCAGGAAACCAATTAGTGTTACTGTTTAGTGTAATTAGATGAAGTGGTAGCCTTGAATTAGAGCAATAATCTAAAAGCCACCATATCTTTGATCACCGAAGGATGATTGAATTGTTTTTTGCTGGAGGCAGAGGTGGGTGCTGGCTGCTGTCACTATTCGGGGTGACTGGAGTTCCCCTAGCATCAGCTTTGATATTATGCCAGAAACAATTATGGAACATCCCTGGCTCCTGACAGCTGCAGCCAATTCGTCTCCTGACTCTTTCACACTATGAAACATCAGGTAACTCAGGACACGGAAACCCCTTAATCTAGGCAAATGAAATTCAATTACTTACTGCCCCCCCCTTGCAAGCTGTTGCCCTGTATGTTAAAAATCCTAGATGCAGATAATTAGTCTGAGGCTTCAAAATTAAACCTGGTCCTCACTTAAGTTTCTTCGCACATTTAGATGCTTTTAAGGGGCTTTCATACTCTTGTTTGCTTCCCTGTGGTGCACGTATTCTGTCATCACACCTCGTGCCTGCATATCACATTGAATTTTTCAAGGGAAAAAGGAGTGATGGTAAAACTTGAAGGAAGGAATGTAATATCATTTGCCTGAGCCTCAGATGAGTCAGATTCTCCTTATCTCAGGAGACAGTTTCAACCGCACACATGGCACACAGGAAGAGATTACAGGTTTAATGAAGAGATTTAGTTGAGAGGAAGTTTATCTGAGGGGAGGCCATTTGCAACAAACGAACCTATGACAGAAGGGACCTCCTCCATACCTTCTGTTCTGAAAATCGGCACAATTTGTTTCCACTGTCCATCTCTCCATTCCTATTCTAAGTTGCCCCCCCCCTAGGCAAAGGCTATTTGGCACACAGACGCTGAAAGGCATGAACTCCAGCCACTAAGAATCAAATGCAGTTCCACAACACACTTCACAGAGGTACAGGTTGCATCCAAACATACTTACATTTCCTTTGACCACATAATTTGAGTCGTTCCTGATATCTCTTGCAAGGCCAAAGTCACATATTTTTGTAATCCGCCCATGAGTAAGCAATATGTTTCTTGCTGCCAGGTCTCTGTGAATGCACTGAAGGGATTGAATAAAAATATATATATATATATATATATATATATAAACCAAATATGATTGTTTTGCATTGCACACCACCAATACAACTGTGCAGAACTGCACTTCTATTATATTTGGGCACCTTGGTCTTAATTTACTGGTCGAAGTCCTGTGGCTATAGCCAAATGACTTTTTGAGGATAGGAGAACCAGGATCTTATTGGATAAAGACTGGATTGTACCAAGGTAAGTACAGTAAGATCCTACAGTTAGTAAGCTCGCCTTGCTTTACTTTGTGTCCGTTTCTATTTCCATTTGATTCCACAAAGGGGAAGACAGCTTTCCTTCCCTAGTTCTCTTGATTCTGCCAACTCAGAATGTTGTTCACGGCACAGTCACTTGGTGGAAAGGTCCGTGGAAATCAATGGAATATGCTTCCAAGCAATGTCTTCAGAACTGGAATGTTTTCCGTTGGGGTTTCCACCCACTGCACCTACTTAATCTTGTTCACCATGATCCAAGGAAGCCAGAAAGGGATGCCCTCCACCAAGCGGCTTGGGTTGTTCTACGGTGTTGTTTAGTACAGACATTTAGTATGAAGCAGATAAAGTTAGGTGAAGAGCTTTTTAAAAAGTATACAGTGGTGCCTCGCAAGACGAAATTAATTCGTTCCGCAAGTTTTTTCTTCTTGCGAGTTTTTCGTCTTGCGAAGCACGGTTTCCCATAGGAATGCATTGAAAATCAATCAATGCGTTCCTATGGAAACCGACTTCAGACCAGGTCCGGGGACAGTCTGTCCCCCGACCTCTTCTGAAGGCTGGGGGGGGGGCAAGGGCTTTTCTTCCCACCCCCAGCATTTTAAAAAAACCCGGGACAGCGGAGACTTCTCCGCTGTCCCGGGGCGATCTTAAAATGCTGGCGGGCGGCAGCGAAGCCTCCGCTGCCGCCCGCCAGCATTTTAAAAAACCCCGGGACAGCGGAGGACTTCTCCGCTGTCCCGGGGCGATTTAAAAGCCCCCGGGAAGGCAGGCAGGGGGGAGCAAAGACTTTTGCCCCCCGCCTGCCTTCAAAAGCCGTCCGGGATAGCGGAGAAACGAAGGCTGGCGGCGGGAGGAGGTCTCTCCGCCCTGCCGCCAGCCTTCGGAGGAGGTCCGAGGACAGTGGGGAAGACGCGCTGCGCTTCCCCGCTGTCCCAGAGATTTCCCTATGGGCTTTCGTCTTGCGAAGGAAGCCCATAGGGAAATTCGTTTTGCGAAGCGCCTCCAAAACGGAAAACCCTTTCATCTAGCGGGTTTTCCGTCTTGCGAGGCGTTCGTCTTGCGGGGCACCACTGTATAAAAAGGCCGACTGTACAAAGCAGTATTTACAGTTGCCCATAGTATCGCCCCAATTTAGAACACTTCCTCTGACTGATGGTCATAGTACTGAAGGCCAGCTCTGCTAATCTACAGAGAGGATATATGATGATATTGTGACCTGGGATTGGAAAGGTTCTGTTTCTCCAGGCTGAAGAACATAGCTGATTCCCTGCCCATATTCCACAACCTCTTATTTCCCCGTGGGAGGTGTACCTGCTGGGGGAGAACTGTTATTTTACACTCCCAAGGTGGAATGAGCAGGGATGTAAAAACATCAAGAGCAGGAGGCAAATGCATCCCACCCGACGATAGCTGGTTTCCCATCCTTTCAAAAATTACTCAGCAGTGAAAAAGATGCTCAATTTAGTGCTCCTCTAGGTGAACAAATTATTATTTCCCAACTTCTCCACTCACATTTTTAGAGGAAAGGAAGCTCATCCCTTTTGCCACCTGATAAGAAAAACTTAGCAAGTCTTCAATATCCAGAGCCAGTTCATCATCTTCTAAGATGGCAATGGTGACATCCTGATTAGCAAACGATCCTACGCAAGGCAAGTAGGGACAATACATAAATGGATTAATTATGGACATTTGGGAAGAAAGCAGTTTTTCTATTAACAGAGTACAGCACTTAATTAACACAGAAATACCCCTAAGCTGCTATTGAAACATGAAGCGATTCCAAATGTGCCCACCCAATGGAAAACTGAAAAATTGTTTTCCGTCTTAGTGTAGATTATTAAAGTTCTAATACACTGAATAGGGGACGCGGGTGGCGCTGTGGGTAAAAGCCTCAGTGCCTAGGGCTTGCCGATCGAAAGGTCGGCGGTTCGAATCCCTGCGGCGGGGTGCGCTCCCGTTGCTCGGTCCCAGCGCCTGCCAACCTAGCAGTTCGAAAGCACCCCCAGGTGCAAGTAGATAAATAGGGACCGCTTACTAGCGGGAAGGTAAACGGCATTTCCGTGTGCAGCTCTGGCTCGCCAGATGCAGCTTGTCACGCTGGCCACGTGACCTGGAAGTGTCTTTGGACAGCGCTGGCCCCCGGCCTCTAGAGTGAGATGGGCGCACAACCCTAGAGTCTGTCAAGACTGGCCCGTACGGGCAGGGGTACCTTTACCTTTACTACACTGAATTAGGGCTGGTGTTGTTGTTTTTTAATGGACATGTTCTGATAGGTCTGGGCCATTTCAAAAAGGAACTTTCCTTCTTTCTTTTCCAATCCTGCTTGACAGCTTACCTGTACTCCTTTTAGTGGCTTTGGTGTGGATGACCTGAGAAACTCCTGGTTTCATGTCCATGTATTCATCAGTGGCATCACTATGTGGAAAACAGAAGAACTATGAGGTTGGATAATATATGGGGAATCTGTTGGCTTGGGTCACTGGACCCCTAGCGGTTTGTATGATGAGGTTTTCAGCTATGTAGAGAAGATGACCTGAATGGACATATCATTCTTTTATTTGAGAGAGAATTATTTAATCCGTATTATCAACTGTCTCACATTCTAGATTGTTGGCTGACAAATTTGCATTTGGTCCCACCTGCAGTTGCACAGGACAGAACTTTGCCAGGCTGTAAGATAACAGGAAGGGAAGTCCAATGGAAACAAATATTCATTGGCTGTGTGGTTCCTAATCCCATACCATTCCCATCATCCCTGGCCACTGGTCTTGGTTGCTAGCGATGATGGGAGTTGTAGTCCAAAAACAGCGGGAGACCCAAGTTTGGGAAACACTGATCTAATCCACAGGGAACGTGGAGACTCAGTCCAAAGTTTGCAAGGAATAATTTGAGCGCTCTCTTAAAAGACAGCCAGAATGGGAGTGCTAGGCTTGAATCACAAAGTCCAGGATTGAAATTCCTTTAAAGCTTAACTGAGTAGTCCTGGGCAGGCCCCATATCTTTCAGCCCAGACTACCTCACAAGGTAGTTGTGATAGTAAAATAGGACAGCCTCTATGTACACCATCCTGAATTCCTCAGCGGAAGCATAAAATAGAAGAAATGTGATAAATAAAAGCTCTCCCCCAAACCACCCCACACACAAAATGAGTACAAAGCTGTGAAAAGCAACAAAACAACTCCCCTCCCAAATGCACAAGCGCACAAAAGGTACACTGTGATTTCCTGGCAATGACCACAAATATTGGCACCACATCCTTACTACATGTGTTCTTTTTGATAGAGAAGGTTCTTGTAGACAGCTGTTTCTTCATGCTTTGGGCAAATAAAGGAGTCGCGTTTCCTTCTCAGAAAATTCAAAAGGTCACCATAGCAGCAGTATTCTGTGATGACCAGAGTAGGACCTGCAGATGCAGAGGAAGTCAAAAGCAGTGGGTGAATTTTCCATTCTGGCTCAGGCATATTTAAAAACAGAAACAAACAAACAAACCAACAAAAAGCCCCTCGATTATTTGGCTACATGTACAAAAACGGGCCATTTCAAATCACACTATAGAGTAGTGTTTCAGCTTGAAAAGTCAGGGTGAAATTACATCAGCGGATTCTCTATTCAGGCACTGAGCCTTATTTCCAATTAAGACGATGTCATTCCCAATTAATTATTTTCACACATCAATAGGGCTGCAGTGTTAAGAAACACACATACACACAAATTAAGTAAGTCCTGTGATAATGGTGCAAACCAGACACATCTGTTTCATTCCGGAGCTCTTCCTGAAGGAAGTTATCTGTTCCAAATGTAAGCTTCTAACATTAATCCTTTTGATTCACTCGTGTTTACAGTAGACTTCTCGCTCTTATAGTAATGTTTTGGAAATGATATAAAATATTATAGTCTTCAATGTAATTGGGGGGAGGGAGGGAGAACCATTCAGACAGAACTCTCTGCTGAGACAGAAAGCTAGAAGCTCCAGACTTTTCAAATGATTAAAAGGGAAATTTAAGGGCAGAATCGAATCGTCTACGGTTCTAAAGTTTTTATATCAAAGATGTGTTTTTCTGAATGCCTGGCTGCCTCTAAGTCATTTCAAGTACCGGATGCCTGAGATTTCAAATATAGGGTTCTGTATCAGTGCCACTTATTCTGGATAGTTCCCTCTCCACTCACACAGAACCGGAACTATTTTCCACAATAGCAATAACTACACTTGTTTATGCTGGCTGAGGTATTATGAAAAGAGCACAAGCCTTCTCTTGGGGCTGTGAGGTCTCCTTTTCAGTATCCCAGTCAAGCTTGCCTTCTTTCAGGACACTCTGTTCCCTTTCCCCCTCACCCCCAAGGGACATCCGGTGGCCACTAAGTGTGTTCAGTCATCAAACTGCCCGTTGCTTCCTGCCCTCTTGTGGGTTTTTCCTTCAGTGGGTTTCTGCAAACCTTGGGGTCCCCCTGAGCCTGCATATGCCTCCTCCTCTTGTGTGTAGAATGGAGCGTTTGATCTCCTTCAGAGTAAGCAAACACATGAGGAGTGGCCAGGATGGGCTGCTCCACCAAGCTCCCTCCAATGTGTCACCTGTACACAGTGTAGAGCAGCGGCTCCCGTGGACCTCCTGTTTTTCAAGCCATGGACCCCCAACTTTTGAAATTTTTGCTATCTCTATGGTAGTTTTCATTATGTGAATGGTGCCATGGACCCCCTGGGGATCACAATCCACCAGTTGGGAACCACTGGTTTAAAGTTTAAGACTGATGCCCTGAAGCAGGGAAGCTCCCAGTGTAATTTGGAGCACTGGTTTTGTCCTGTGAGGACTATCCATGGGTAGAGGAGGCTCTCTGCTTCACACCTTCTCCCTCAAATTCATGGAGGGCTCTGAACTGCCATATGGGGCAGGGCTTGGCGGCACAGACCACTCCCCACTTCTCCTCACCTGTTTGCCGACACACAAGGTGCTGGAATGCCGGAATAGGACATTTCTCTGTGTGTGAACATTACTAGCTTTCCCCTCAAACCTCCCCAAACTGAGCAACAGGTTGAAAACTGTACCTCCAACTGTACAGGCTCCGAGTAGATTGACAATGTTAATGTGGTTGCCAAGGTAACTCAGGACTTTCAGCTCGGACATCAGGGCTTCCTTCTCAGTGAAATGGGCGCTGGCTGGAGAGAGAAAGATGAGAAATTCAGCGGATTTAAAAAGGGAGAAGGGAGTCGCAAAGGAACACACCACAAGGTGTTCCAGGTTGCTTCCTGGCCCAGTGTGCTTTCAGGTCTTCCAAGAAGGCTCTGCTTAAAACTAGGCTTGCCACACTGGTTTCTGATCTTAGGAACATTTACTTGTAAAGGATACAATAACTGGGAGAAAAACTCTCTTTAATCTGATGCGTTACAGTGTTCTAACAAATGGGATACATTCTTATGGTCATACAATGTGCTCCATATTTTGGAGATCCTTGGATGGCAACCCCACCTCAAACTCCCTCCTGAAGTTGGGAAAATGGCTACTGGTGTGTGTGGGGGAAGGAGCGTTCCTGAAAATTCATTATGGAATTTCCTTCCCAAGGAGGCACTTCCAGGCTCACACTCTACCAGTTAGAATCACAGAACCAGAAAGGATTCCAGGTCATCTAGACCAACCCAGCATTCAATCAAGTATCTACAATGTTGGAAGCAGCTGTAGCGTCCCTGACAGATGCCTGCCCAGCCTCTGCTTAATGCCTCTGACAAAGGAGAACCCACCACCTCCAAAGGCAGCCTGTATTCCACTCTCAAACAGGTCGTACTATTAGGAAGCGCCTCCTAACGTTTAGCTGAGATCCACTTCCCTGCAATTTCCACCCACCAATTCTAGTTCTGTCCTCTGGAACAACAGAGCACTAGTGTCCTAATATTTCCTGCATGGCAGCTCTTCAGATATTTGAAGCTGGCAATTTATGCAGGAATTTGGGGCTGAAGGCAATGTGTAGCGATGAGGTATGGTTTTCATCTTTTGGCGTGTATGTCGCTTTCGGAACCCTTGGGAAGAAAGGGCAAGAGAGATATTTTTAAATAAGTAAAACTTGCAACGGAGGTGTTGGGAACTTACGTTTGAGCATCTTTACAGCTACTCTCATTGCTCCATCAGGTTTGAAGAGACCGTAGGCAGTGGCTTCAACCACTTTCCCAAAAGCTCCAGCTCCAAGAGTCTTGCCTAAAGGATTTTCAGAGTGTTAAAAAAACGACAACCAAACATTGAGCTGCTACCAAACAGATTAGCAATGCAACCTGATCCAATTCCTATTTTTAAAAGAAATTTAAAGCAGGGAGAGGCCATTGTAAGATCCACAAATAGTGTCCCACCGAGTAGCTGTGAATTCCATTATTTCATGAATCTAGGTAGAGGGTGGGGGGCAGCAAATTTGTTACACAAAGTCCAACACTATTGTTAATATTTGGGGGCCCAAAGTTACAGTTCCTTATTTTCCCTCAGCTCCCCTTTGTTCCGCACATCTGACTTAACCTTTCCCTCTTTGACTCCATCTCTCCTGTCTCTATGTCTTCGCTATTTGACAACAGTTGCAGGTAAAAAAAACAGTAACAAAGTACAGTGGTACCTCGATTACATATGGTTCAGGTTATATACGCTTCAGGTTACAGACTCCGCTAACCCAGAAATAGTACCTCGGGTTAAGAACTTTGCTTCAGGATGAGAACAGAAATCATGCTCCAGCGGCACGGCGGCAGCGGGAGGCCCCATTAGCTAAAGTGGTGCTTCAGGTTAAGAACGGACCTCCAGAAATAATTAAGTACTTAACCCAAGGTACCACTGTACAGGCATCTGAAATGCATGCTGGGGTTTAGTGTATGTGTGACGTAATTTGGAGCTGACTGTAAGCAGAACAACAAATTATGGAAGCAGAGTTACTTAGAACATGGCACAAATAATGCAGAGCTTTTCCTCCAGGAAAGTTCCCCACCATTTCCCTCAGCTTGTGACAGGCCGCAGTGTAACACAATGCAAGTCTAGTGGGGGACCAGTCTGTGGGCTAGGGAGAACTCTTGACTGATTTTATATTGGCCTGGTTCACACATAACAACAAGCCAAACTATGGCTTAATGTACAAATACCTGGAGTAGGAAAATAAATTAAAAAAATAAAATCTTCCCCTGGTCCTGCTGCTGCCATGCTATGTAGAGCTAAGCCATGGTTTGGTTTGTGTTAGATCCAAACCTGGGCTTTTGGTTTGTCTTGCTCCCAACAAACATGAGTTGTAACCAAGATTTGCTCTTGGTTTTCTACTTGTAGTTCATCTGCAGGAGACGTGCTATTAGCTCAGCTTTAGATAGTGCAGGAGCAGCAAAACAAGGGGAGAAGTGAAGTGACTGTGATTTCCCTTCCACACGCTTGTTTGTTCTTGGCAAGCCATGGTTACATGCAAAGAAGGTCACTTGCCTAACCTTGCTCTGAAGAGGACACAAGCTCCTTACAGGATTTCTTTAAAAAAGCAGTACTGGTCCTTCATTCCCCACCCCCTTCCAGGAACAATGCCATTCTGCTGACACAGAGTTCTATAGGTCAAATACATGTAAACTAACCAAAACTTAGCCGGTTTCTCGGAAACTCCCATTTGTCGTCATAAGGAAGCTGTGTGGGATCGATGTAAACATAGTTGTTTCCATTTATTTCGTCAACTACTTTCCACTGAACCTCATATTTTGGTTTCTGGAAGAGAGATACAGTCATGTTGAGTGCATAAAACCGTGAACGGAGGTAAAGGAAAAAATAAGATTGTGGGTGGTATAACCACAAGCATAATTCTTACCTGCAGATATTTGTACACAAGAATGATGACTGTGATGCACATCAGTCCTGCCGCTACTCCAAAGCCAATTAACAAAGGAGTGAAAAGGGTGTGGGTGCTTATTTGTTCTGGAAAGACACACACAAAAGAAGCCTGGCTTAAATTTTTGTATTAAGAGACTTGGCCCTTGACTCATCAAGGAACACAGTGCTTTACGGTATGAGCCAAAAGGTGTGTTCTCCGTCTCAGGGAGATTACAGCATGAACACAGTATGCCGTTTCAAATATCACTCGGGCTGCCAGTTACCTTTAATGGCAAAGTTGAAAAAAGCAGCACTCCTGGCAATGTCGTTGGAAGCTTCACATGCAACAGTGCCATTCTTGAACATGCTGGCATCCACGGTGCTTTCAACAACTATCTTCCCAAAAGGAGGAAAAGGCGAATCTTTATAATTGGTCTTCACGTCTACTGGTGAAATGTTTGGTGAATCTGAACACCTGGAAGAAACAATTCACCCGGGTGAGCCAACTTGGTGGACAAGAGAGAAAATATCCAGAATGTTGATGCCAGGAAAATAGCAGCACCCTTTAGGTTAATGATGGCCAAACTTGGCCCTCCAGCTGTTTTGGGACTACAATTCCCAAGCCACTGGTCCTGTTAGCTAGGGATGGAGGGAGTTGTAGTCCCAAAACAGCTGGAGGGCCAAGTTTGGCCATCGCTGCTTTAGGTGAAGAAATGAATCTTGTTTATATCTATATTAGCATTCCCTAATGCTGTACTAGACTAACATTAACATTATGTCTAATATGTCTAACATTAACATCTATGTACTATACATTTTGTTTTTTATATAATTTTAATTAATTTTTTGTTTTACACTTTAGAATATTCATCTAAACAACCTTAAAATGTCAATGACTTCCCTTCTTCTCTTTCCATGATTCATTTCGCATATCATAAATCCCTGCATATTTTACATAAACTAAACCATTCAGTATTCCATGATTAAATCGAACAAAACTTGTTTGCACTGTTGAATTTATCTTAATGCTGCCAACGTTTTCAGGTTACACAATTCCCCCCCATATATTCAATAAACGTTTTCCAAACTTCTTTAAATTTATCTTCTTCTTGTTCTCTTATTCTATATGTTAGGTCTGCAAGCTGCGCATATTCCATCAGTTTAAGTTGCCATTCTTCTTTAGTTGGGACCTCACTCGTTTTCCATTTTTGGACTAACAAAACACGGGCCGCAGTAGTGGCATACATAAATATCCTTTTTTGACACCCAGGAAATCCCCATGTACTATACATTTTGAGTGAGTAAAACCTCATCTTAAAAAGCTTTGCCCATTCAAAGAGGGAAAATATCTCATATCTCATACTCTCCAGCATTTCCAAAAAGGTGAAACAAAACCTCTAGAAAAAATGTTTTCCTCTAATTTTTTGTCTGTCTCCCCCACCCACATGAGGCCTGAAGTGCATGTATAGCGTCTAACGTCAAATATATACATATTTCTCTAACACAACATGCCCCAAATTATGTAAATCTGCTTAAAAGCCTACTTTGCATCTTCCACAAAGTATGACTTTAGATTTCATGGTCTTATCCCATTTCTCTTCTCATTAATTTTCAGAATACATATAACAGGAAAACAAAGTGTGTCAACAAAATGCTCACAGCCTGTTATGACAATTCATTAAAAATGTTACAATAATCCAAAGGGTAATATATTTAATGTCAGATTTCAAAGTAGCATAAATGGTGGTGCATTCCCTATGGCTATTTTTTCCTTTGTGCCATGTTGCACTTTCAGCCAAGATGGCAGCAGGCACCATTTTCTAGGAAATCTCCTCTCTGAGCAAATTAAGACCGTTCACACAAGGCCCCATTACCTTGAGACTCTGACCTTCCCATAACTACGCAGGGCCTTTGTAGAACTAAGATTCCGACAGATGCCCTTGGCATATTTAGAGGGGAGATATTGGGGAATTCCCCATATGGATTGCAAAAGTATACATGGATGCAGTCCGGCAGAGGACATCAAACACTACCTGCTGATTTGGCCCCTGTATACAACGCCTAGAGGAAAATTTATAGCGCCAATTCTTAATTGGCTTCCAGGTTGATTCATACCAAAAGTGACTGTTGAACTCCTAGCAGATAAATATCCATATATTACACACCAGGTAGCCAGATTTGCACCTGCAGTCAAGAAGTTCTGTTCCAGCTATGTGAATGCACTCCAATCTTAAGTCTTAATGTTGTAAATTTCTTTTCATGTTGCAAACTGCTACAGGTTATGTGTATGATTTAAGATGAAAGCTTCCTTTTCTTCTCTGTCGTCCATTGCAAAGGCCTCTGGCTATGTGCAATAAAAACTGACTGACTGTCCAGTCAGTTTCTTTATATATGGATTGGAATTGGGCAGCTGTTTTGTCTCTTGCTGTAGGCAGCAAAATGTCTTGGGCTGGGCCTGAAGGCTCTCTGCAGGAACCTCTGCTTCTGATACAGAGAAAACGAAGGCCGTCCTAAAAGTGGTTTTTAGCTGGCAGAATGCTCTTTTTTCATTATCTACTACAATGTCGCAATTTAAAATCCTTTTTAGGATGGATCATATATGCAGAGTTGAGAAACGTTGCCCGTTGCTGTGGATGAAAAATGCACACCTCAAAAGTAAACTTAGGAAAGAATAACTTGTGAAAAATGATTCATATAGGAAACACATTATCTGCTAGCAAGAATGTCTTTAGAACGCTGTCAAAATAAGCAAGTGCTTTATAATCTTGTTTGCAAATCCTCTACCTGCACTGAAAGTACATACAATCTTCTTAGAAACTTGGTAATTACCTTTGTAGTTAATTCTCTTTCCCCCCACAAGCTTACAAGACACATTTACCCTATAATCTACTGTGTGTAAATGAAAATCTAATTACCCTGTGTCCTGGAAAATTGTGTTATTACATGATAAATCCAAAAGATAATAGCCATACATGGGAGCTATTTTGTAATTGTCATTCTACGGGGTTAAATCATTAGGGCCAAGAACAGCCCGGCTGCAAGTGGGTGTAAGCCCTCTGAAGTCCATGTTTGGCCCTTAATGTTTAGTCATAAATTATAGTGACTCCTTCAAGAAAAGAGCAAGAAGTGAACCACAGAAAAGTCCCGCCATAAGTAAGGCTATTTAGGATAGTGAGTGTGTTAGAATGTGGAGTCCTCCTAGCCTAAGCCACTTTGCTGCGAGATGCTGACTGGTCCCTCAGTTGCCAACCGATGGGCAAAGGAAACATGGGACCTATTCCAGTGAACCTTCCCACAAATATTCATGGAGGAACCAGACCTGTTAGCCCTGCTCCTGACAAATCCATGTGCCATGCTTCTCAAGGGCCATAGGTGCAGTGAAAGGGACCTAAATGTGCACAGCTATGCATGTCCAGGGCTTATCTTTGAGAACTGCTCCCAATTGCAAAGAGTTGTGGTGGACATGTAAAAAAATAAATAAGCTAAAGGCTTCTGAGAAATGATATATAATGAAATGAAGATGATGTTTATCCCCCAAAGACCTGAAGCTTTTCTCATAGGGATAATAGGGATGGACATGCCAAGGAAAATGACCAAATCATTTAGATACGTGACAACAGAAGCTAGAATGTTATATGCACGGAAATAGAAAGAAGAGAAGGTTCCAACGAAGGGGGAATGGCTTAAAAAAATAATGGACTATGCCGAAAAGGCAAAGCTGACAGCAATATCAAGATATCGAAACGATGGACTTTTTATAGAAGAATGGAGGGCTTTTGTGGAGCATTTGGAAAAAAAATATACTGAAAAAATACAGTCAAATGAGCAGGATTCGAGATAGGGAGCAGTGGGAGAAAAATGATAAAGTAATTGTATTAGACAGATTTTTGTAATACATAAAGAGTTTGAAAGACTGCAGTAGAAAAGGTTTTGAACATAAACACTGTTGAGGCATAGGTGGGAAGTCAATACATGAAATGATGTAACTGTTCCATTTGAAGTTAATTTGTTAAAAAAAATGGAAATTCATTATAAATTATATTATTAAATAAAAACAATTGCAAAGAGTTGTATTTGTGTATAGCTCTATGCACGACTACTGGAAGGGAATGGCTGGCTTCTGCTAGCAGGGGTGGGTTTTGCTCACTTCACGTGTTCCCTGAGGATGTGTGTAGGAAAGTTCATCTGAATAGCTCCTATGTATGTTTCCACCTCAACAGCCCTATGGAGAAAGGGACTTTTGGCCAGTTTGCATTTCTTATTCCCATTTCAAGAGGGTTCTGGAAGCTTCTGTGTGTGAAAGAAACAAGCAGCAGGTTCATGATGTTTGGGTTATTCTTTCAGAGAAGCTGAGTAGAGCTGGCTTAAACTGGTTCTCTGTCAAGGTCATGTTGACTATAAAAGTAAGGCCAGAAGGAGCCTCGGTTTCACTTTCTCTTTCTAACTCTCTTCCTTCAGGTGTGGTGTTCTGTACATGCCATAGCTGTCAACGTTTCCCTTTTTTAAAGGGAAATTCCCTTATTCAGAATAGGATTCCTCACAAGAAAAGGGAAAAGTTGCCAGCTATGGTACTTAGTGTTAAGGTTTAGGCTTATTACAAGTTATTGTAAGTTTAAGGTAAGTCCGCTGCAACTGGATTTCTTATGGACTGTGCCAATCCTGAAGGTATTGGATTTGTGACCATTATGCCCATTTGCCTTCAGTAGCAGTAAAGCTCTGCTGGATAACATGTAATTGCCTCTGGTCTATTTTTGGGGAATCCTGCAATGTGTTCAAGTTGTTACTCTGCTAACTATACATTGGAATCTACCCTGGATCAATACTGAGTAGAATTTCAATGACACTTTTGTGGCAACACAACTGGCTGACAGCCTCTGTTAGGCACTGGGGGCAGGCAAGGTTGGGAAACCAAGCCATCAAACCCATTCCTCACTTTTCAAGCGACTCTCCGGTGGCTGATTCAGAGCTGAAGAGCACATGACGTACAAGCAGAGCATTTCTTTATTTCGTTTTATTAGAAAAATACTATCATTTGTAACGCCCTTGCCCTTCTACCAATATAAACACGCCACTCATCTGAACATTTGTTTCTGGGCATATTAATTTATTGCACTGAAGATCTAACCCAAAGACAAAACGCATGCTGGAAATGATTTGGCTCACTCACCTTTGCTCAGCTGCTGTGCAGAAATACCAGTCTATTTTCGGGGCAGGGTAACCAGCAGCCACACAGTGAAGCATGCCATTGCTAAGCCTGTCTGAAGCAACAATTTCCGGTTTGGCTGAAAATAAAACGGACAGATATATAGTCATTCATTAGATCTCCTTATGACTGTGCATTCATACTTTGGCCCAAATACTAGAAATATGTTGACAACGTCTGCCAATAAATTAAGCATCTGCCCCCAAGGCAGTGGCAAATGCTTTCCCTACAAGTAAGCCCTACTGAACACAGTGCTACTTCTGAGTAAACATGTGTTGGACGTGCAAAAAGAAACATAATATTCATCTTTGGAAACGCCCATCGTTTTCCCCAGGCATCAAAGCATTTTGCAGTGTTCACCCCAGCAAGTCTTGCTAGTTAACAGCACTCGAAGGACAGAACTAGGTGTTCTTTGGTCGCTTTGTGTCCTGAAACCATGGGTGCTGCTTCTCTGCAAAATCCACCCCCCCTGCCGCCAATATGTTACAAAGAAATCTTGCAAAAAAAGAAGGGGGGGAACAACCAAGTCAATCTCAATAGGAATGTAAAGAATTTAAAACAGGAAGTAGAAAAAATACCATTGATATTCATAAACCTATACAGTGGTACCTTGGTTCTTGAATGGTTTGGCTCCCAAACAAATCAGCTCCCGCACGCCGCAAAACCAGAAGTAAGTGTTCCGGTTTGCGAACATTTTTTGGAAGCGGAACATCCGATGTGGCTTCTGCTGGACTGCAGGAATCTCCTGCAGCCAATCGGAAGCCACGCCTTGGTTTTCAAACCGTTTCGGGAGTCGAATGGACTGCTGGAACGGATTAAGTTTGAGAATCAAGGTACCACTGTACAGTCTTCCCGCAGGTTCATATTGGTCTCAAGTTGACTTCTTGTTTCTACTCGAAACGGAGGTGTTGGTGAAAAGGCTGATGCTTGAGACTACTAATTATGTCCAGTATTTAGCATGAGTAGAGCTAAGGTAAAGAGATTTTGGGGCAACTGCTCAACTGCTTTTTACAAAGAGGCACCCCATGAAGTGAAATGAAGATTACGGGCTTGCTATGCTGTTACATACCTAACATAAGTTTCTCCGTCGATTAAGGTTTGTGGCCTTCGGCTTCCTTTTCCAAGACATGACACTTTCTTTTATTACATTTAAGAAATCGCAGCACTGCTGCATTTAAAAGATTATTATCAGAGCCCATGGGGAAGACAGCAGCAATAAATAGGATTTACAGACATTTGTTCTAGCTGTCTTTGAAAAGGCATCCGAAGAACAGGTACACCAAGGAAAAGACTTTTGACAAAACTTTTCCATAACATCCTGCAAGGATTTACTTAATGGAGGACCTGGACAGCTCTAGCAGGAACTGAGGCCAATGCAATTTTGACAGTCCCACTCATTCCAAATCCTCAAGCACAAAACAAAGACTTCGACTTTGGGAGCACTCAGAGAAACGCTTGCAAAAGCTCCGGGTTTTTGAGAGCATTCAATTCAAATACTCGCCGAAAGCCCAGAGGATGCTTGCAAAGTGCCCTTTGCTACTGCCTCCCTGTCCCTCTCAAAAGCTGAGAATCTCACTGGCGCCAGAGGGAAGGTTAAGGTAGCAGTTGAGATTCTTCCTGGGCCCTGTTGGAACATCTTCACTGGGCAAGAGACTGGGACTACAGGCCCCAGAATCTCTGTTTCTGTCAGTTCCAAAGAGAGAAGGCCCTCCAACGTAGTCCCATCCTCTGTGGGGGAAAACTACTGCCTGTGCCTGAGAGAACCCACTGCACTGCTGAAGGAAGGTTAATGGAGTCTTATGGACAGACAAAGGAGGAAGAGGCAGCAGAAGCGCTTGAAGGATTGAGGGGAGCAGAGCAGCAGCCTGCTCAAACACTGTAGAAGACTAATGGCATCCGCTATGGGCCAGGAGATCTCCAGCACAACTGTCAGCCATGAATTCATCCATAAGCCACTGTCTGAGCCAATGCATGCCAAGCACACACTCAAGGGAAGTGTTCTTGCCTCCATGGAGGTTACAAATTCACAAACGTATTTTTAAAACTATAGTCGAGACGCAACAGATCAGCTCTTTACCAAGTGTATAACTTCTAAACAATTGGATGATTTATACGTCTTGAGATTATGCATGGAGGGGCCTTAGCTTCTGTGTGTATTATGTTACAGGAACTGAAAGTCCTTCTTCCCCTCTGTATTTGCATGCAACACTTCAGTCAAAATAGCAAACCAACCAACCCTTTTGCAAAATCGCCAGGCTGGATTCGCAACATGACTCAACTGAGTGCCGAACTCGCTGGTCATGCACATCCTGGTCAGAGGGAGCGTCGGGGGGGGGGGGACAGCTTCAGGCAAGAGAAGAGAGCTCTTATTTATTCAACTCCCAAGCAATCACATTCATGAATACTGTTCCTTGCAGCCCCCATCATGCCTAAGATACTTGACTGTTCACTGGATTTTGCAGCCTGATCTTATGCTGGGTTGGGAACACAACTTTACAGAGCGACATCTTAAACTGCCTGCCCTTGACAATGGTTTGGGAACTTCAGCCAGCGCCTCCTAAATGTCAATGAGCTACTGGGCTAAATTCAGGATGCACTGGTGTACAAAGCTCTAGGCAGCTTGGGTCCAGGATACCTAAAAGGTTGCCTCTTTGCCTACTCAACCCCGTACCCAAGTGATTCCTGCATTCTGTGTAGCAGAGGGCATTTTGTAGATACTAACCTCAGTGGGGTAGGATTGCTGGGGGGCAAATTCACATCTGGCAACCAATGCACCCCTTTGGTTTCAGATAGGGCATAGGCAGATGAATCAAAAAGTCTGGGACACAAATTTTAATGGCCCTGGCTTATTTACCAGAAGTAATGTATTTAGTGTTGACTCTGGAAGTGTATACGATTCTGACCAAACTAAGCCCCCTAATGTATATTTTGATCCACACCCCTGAGATTACAACAGAATAAAGCCACCCTCTCCCCCAGGATCCCAACCTGGGTCATGCTACCCACCCTCCTATTTAGCTTTTAAAAAGCCGTTGAAATATTACTAATTGCATGCATAGCATCTCATCCAGTCTGCTCCTTAGTTCCAGTGAAAAGCTGATGCAGACACGCCTTGAGGCTATGACTCCTTGATTCAGTTATGCCAGGGTACTTGGAGTGAAACTGACGTGAGACCTGTTTTCATCTATTGGACTAAACAAACTCAGAACCTAGGTACTCCCTTCACTACTTCTTTTTCATTTGCAACTAGCCTTGGTAAGATAACATGCACACAGACATCTGAGACGCAAGTCAATTAAGACAGAATATACATGGATTGAAGGAGGCTGCCAGAACTGCATGTTTAACTACTATGTTGAGGTCTGCTGTATTTCACACATGCGGTGTGTGCCTGTTTTAAAATTAGTTTTATGTCCTCCATTCCTACCACCAGGATCCAGGTATGACTGAACAAGTCACTGACTGCAACACAGTCCACTGTCAGATACCATTCTACCCAAAAGCAGCTGCAGCCATTACTTGATACATAATGAATGTACATATCTGCATAAGGACTGAGGGCCAAGTTCTGTTTGGCTCTCCTGTTTGTGGAACTGTCACCAAAGTTAATGGGAGTTCTGCAAATATATTCCCAGGAAACCGTTTCAACTGTTTATTCATTGGGCTTTTGGCAGCAAATATGGATTTCAAATAATTACAGAACTGGATGTATTTTCAGGATGAAAAGTCTTCCAAAGTTTAGAATACATTTTTTAATGCCTCATTAAAATTACTTATTGAAGAGCCACCCCTTCAGATTTGTTGGTCCTGGGGTGAAAAAGATGAGCCAAGGGAGTTTTGTTTAAGATTACTCAATTCATTTTCAGTCTCTTGATTCGTTCCTGGGTATGTAAACAAACTGGAGGATGAAATGAGTTCAGGATTTGTTGAAATGAGTTCGGCTGGAGTTGTAAAGGTCACCTCTCCTTTGAGGTGGGCTTTTATATGCCCCTGAAATCAGTTTCCAAGCCCAACCAAGCTCAAGAGACTTTGGCCAGTATCTCCAGTTGCTCTTGTGTTGACTCAGAGAACGCTGGGGTGAACTCTGTTTCTACCTCTGCTCATTTCTGAGCTACTTAAAAGACTTGGCCACGGCTTCTATTCGTGATGCGAGCACGAACGGCATAAGGGGACCAGACACTCATCAGTGGGTTAAACCAGGTCTACAACTTTATTAAACAAAACCAGCTAATTGTTTTAATCTTCCATAGTTTTGCACCCACTTGCCAAGCCATAAAAGCCATTTTAATCCTTTGTCAACCACTTTGGGTAAATAAATATTTTAAGCATAGGAATTGTGTGGTTCTGTTAACACCCCTAAGCGAGTAAAATAATATTAGCATCTCTTATTTATTGATAAGCAGGATAATGTTGCTGTTAGCAATTGTACCCATTGCAAAAAAAGTCGTCCCTCTGTTCTAATTAATCAGCATCCCGTACCAATGCTGCCAAAAGTCTAAGCTGGGTTAACAGTGCAGAAGAAGCAAAAAAAAACTTAATTCCTCCAGTGCCAACATAGTTGGCACACCAAAAAGTAAAAAATTTAAAAAATCCTATACTGTCACCCAAGGGTGGGTGGACGGATACTGAGCATGAGCTGACTGGAGAGAGACATATATAATGACTCTATCCCAAGATGGCATCTGCTAAACAAGACATGCAACTTCATGTCCAGTGGGTCCAGCGTCAGAGGTGTAACCCTGCTTGAACATTTCCACGTTGGGAAGATAGAGTAGCTATTTGCTAGAGGGGCAGCACCACAAACCTGGTCTCCTAGCAGTGACATCACCGCCACATACTGAGATGGTGTGGGTGCAAGGGGACTGGCAAGGTTGGGGTGGTTTGGGTTCAATGACGGGAGCATTGGATTGGTTCGGCTGCATCGTCCACACCTTACCACCACCCTGAAATGCTCTGCAGTGGTGATGGCCCTGCCAGGAGGCCAGGTCCACTCCACCCACCCTCTCCACTGGTTGCTCCTAGCTGTCACATGAGAGAAGCAGAAGCTTCTGGTGCAATCTTCTGCACCAACTAATGTGCCTCTCTGTGTGCTGCAAACTGGAATGGCAATGGCACATCCAGTCTTTCTATCCAATGTACACACCAGAGTTGTCAGCCCCGCAGTGCATAGCTCTGGGCCTGTGGGTGACAAATTCCTCTCCAGAGTGCAATGGTGAGAACGTACATATTGCCACCGTGCAATCTTAAATATTTATTTGCCTCTAGTAATTAGGAGGGAGAAGGAAACTGGCAATAAAAGCAACGCAAATTGACTCAATGGTGCTGAAGTGACGACTACGGAGATGCAAAAGTAGGAAAGTAACTTCTTTAAGCTCTCTTCAACCGTGCTTGGAATCTGCCTTGCTGGTAGCTCAATAGCACTTAATAAACTAATGAAATTAGAGATTTAAAGCGCTTTATGGCTGATTATTGACAAGAGGATGGAACTATGCAAAACAGCTTAATGAAATGTTCAATAATTAATTTGTTGCAGCTGAAGCAGTGAGCAATACATAGCCATTAGCCTCATTGTTGTTTTTTTCCTGATATTGGGGATAATTAAAAACAGTGGAGTGAATCAAGCCAGTCCCTGTAAAAAATATTTTTTTAAAAAATGCTCCCAGAAAGAGGCTGTGAGAGTAAGGAGTGTCATTTTAGAGGGTGAAACTTTAATTTTTGCAATTTTCTTCAGCGAGGGGTCTTAAAAACATGTTTTTGAGTGTGAGGAATTCAAATCTGCTTTTATTTTTGTGACTGGACAACATTTAGCTTGGTAAGTCTATGTTTGATGAAGAAGCACATAAACTGCTTTTGGGAAACCAAATAATTTTACCTTCTGAAAATATCAGATAATGCTAAATAATAAAAATAATATTGATATAAAACATCTGTAAGTACTTGGCAAGCATTTTTAATGACTTCTATGCAATTTTACACACATTTTACTTACCAAGTAAAACTAAATTGTATTAATTTAACCAAAATATATTTTGAAGTCCCCAGACATGTTACAACTTTTCAGCACCCGTCATTTTTGGAAGTTGAAAGTTGAAAAATACAATGGTATGGGAGGGTATCTCTGCCCACACTTGCTAGCACTGGTCCATGTTTGGATCGATGTTTCCTTACATCCCTTTCGCTATACTTGATGATGTCATCAGCAGAGGAAGAAAAGCAAGAAGAGGAGGAGGAGATTCTAGGACTCGGGCTAGCAGTAATATTCAAAAATCTGGTCACCCATGTAGATTTCTAATAATGTTGGGGTACTCGCTATGTCTTAGACCGTGGTTCTCAAAGGCTGTAACACACCACACTGGCGTGGCAGGAAAGGAGGACAAACGTGGCAGGAAGATTCAATATGAAAGATCAGAAAACAGAAAGGCTTCTTTGTGCTCGTGAAAAGATGAGAGTTTGCTTGTCTCAAATTAGACCTAATATAAATGAGACTACCTAGCAGAAGCAAGTTCACGCCTCTCATCGAGCTTACATATATACTTAAGTTACATGTGTAAGAAGCTTGTTTATCATTATATTTTTGGAATGATTCATGTTCTTATGTATCTGCATTGTTTTATACTTTCTGAATGTCCCATGCAACAGTTCTATGTTATAAATCAAACACTGCTGGTTGTTTCTCCCCTCACCCCAAAGTATTTCAATTTTTTTTAAAAAAATGGCATGGTGCGAGCAAATTTTTATTCTGAAAGCTGTGGCCCAGAGGGAAAAAAGTTTGAGAACCACAAGACTGAAGTTAAAATGATATAATCCAGTCCTTGGTTGAAGCCTGGGATACAAAGGTGATAATGAACACTAAGTATGTGGATATGGGCTGTGTGAACTCTGAAACTGGCTATGATACAAGTGCACCAAGTAACCCTTCCTTAATTTGCACGTTGATTCTAAAACCCTGTCAGTCAGAAGAAGCGTGGCAGCTGCACAGGGGAGAGAGACAGCTGCAACCTACAGCAACCTTTTAGACCATGTAAGTCTTGCCGGCTGAGAACAGACAGTAGGGTGGTATTCAGCTAAGATGTACTCCGAATAGACCTGCTGAAATTAAGGAAACATGACTAAGTTAGGTCCACTCATTTCAATGGGTCTACTCTTGGTGACTTCTGTTTCGGTGTATCTGAAGAAGTGTGCATACACACGAAAGCTTATACCCAGAACAAACTTCGTCTCTAAGGTGCTACTGGACAATTTTTTAAATTTATTTTGACTGTGTCAGACCAACACGGCTACCTACCTGAACTTAGTTGAACACTGTGCACCATACCACTTCTGAGACTTTTAATCTGCCTCCACACCATATCTGTTAAAGGGTAAAGGGGACCCCTGACCGTTAGGTCCAGTCATGACCGACTCTGGGGTTGAGGCGCTCATCTCGCTTTATTGGCCGAAGGAGCCGGCGTACAGCTTCTGGGTCATGTTGCCAGCATGACTAAGCCGCTTCTGGCGAACCAGAGCAGCGCACTGAAACGCCTTTTACCTTCCCGCCGGAGTGGTACCTATTTATCTACTTGCACTTTGATGTGCTTTTGAACTGCTAGGTGGGCAGGAGCTGGGACCGAGCAATGGGAACTCATCTTGTTGTGGGGATTCAAAGCACGACCTTCTGATCAGCAAGTCCTAGGCTCTGTGGTTTAACCCACAGCACCACCCACGTCCCATATCTGTTAAACTCACACATTTATCTCAAAGAATTCTGGGCACTGTAGTTTAGCCCTCACAAAGTTACAATTCCCAGCAACACTTGACAAACTACAGTGCCCAGAATTCTTTGAGAGAGGGGAATATGATTATAATGTTTTATAGAGTTGTATTGTATATGCAGAGATTGGCATATTTGCTAACATTAAGTATCTTATTCTGACAGCAGAACTAGGTTAGCTGGTTGTTCGCTTTAAGTAACCTAGTAGTAGTCCACTACATTTCTGCCAAATATGTAGGGGGGGGATAATATTTTCTGAATTTTGAAGGCCTTATATCTTATAAAGTATTTAGTCTAAGCTCAGGAAAACTTGACCCTTCCAGAAGCTGTTGGAATACAGCTCCCTTCAGCCCCTGCCAGCATGTCCAATGGCTAGAGTTGACTAGAACTGTAGTCTAGCAACACCTAAAAGGCACCACATTAGCTACCCAATTTCCAGTAGTATATATTTATGAATGTTGAACTTTTTTTTTTTAACATTTATAGGGCTAGTCAAGATTTACTCAGTAGTTTGCAAACCAGAAAACAGTCTTAAGAAACAATGCACACTCTTTTCTGTTTTCCCTTCCCTTCCCTATGATATCCCTAAAACCACAGTTTGAAACCATGGTCTGGCAAACCATCACTCTGAGAGAACATGATTAGCCATGTCTAGCTAAACAATGGTTAACGTAAAGAAGTGGAGATAGAGGAGAATCGAAAACCAGAGTTTGGAGAGAACACTGCCGGCACAGAAAACTAAAAGCATGTTTAATGCCAAGAAGGGAAGAGAGGAGGGATTGTTCTTGAGATGAGAGAAAGGAAAGAGCGCTCACACCTGGGGCTAGCTCCCAATTTGCAAAACCATGTTTTACAAGGTGCCCATTAATCACTGTGATGCCTTGCATGTACAATGTGTTTTGTTAAATGCAGTGAACTGTGATAAAGAAATATTGCAGACTGCTCTTTTCTACTTACTGTTCACATAGACATTAAATGCTATAGAGGAGTTGGCATCTGAGTTGGACACAAAAAATGTGTATACGCCTCCTTCTGTTCCCTTCAGTCGAGTAAGGTGAAGCTCACTGGAATACCTAGAGGAGGAGGAAGCAATTTAGTTTTATTACTCATATTATTCACAGCGCAAACAGAAAGGCCAGTCGCTATCCTGAGACATTTTAAAAAACTAAACAGGTTGTGCTTACACGTGAAATCTTAAAACCACCAAGGACACCAACCCAGTCTGCTTGTTCCTTTTGGACAACCACACTTTGCTATGTTGCCAAAGGCAACAGAAGGCTGCTTGAAGGCTCCTGAATCAGAAGACCATCGCTTCTGCACTCTGGGTACAGATGCATGTGCAAATCTCAGTGCCAAGCAGTTTCATACTGCATGGCTATGTGAATTTTGCATCTGATTCAAGATGGAGCTCACTGGGCAGTCTTCAGATAGCCACTTTATATCAACAGTTGTTGTTTCTCAGACTAACTTTTCCGAGAGATGTTGGGTAGCTAAGATGACACTAAGATGGATATCCAAAGTGCATTTACCTAGTAGCAATCCTCACTAAACACAGTAATACTTACTTCAAAATGAACTTATGTAAAGGTAAAGGACCCCTGGACGGCTAAGTCCAGTCAAAGTTGACTATGGGGTGTGGTGCTCATCCCACTTTTTAGGCTGAGGGAGCTGGTGTTTGTCCACAGACAGCTTTCCGGATCATGTGGCTAGCATGATTAAACAGCTTCTGGTGCAACAGGGCACCATGACAAGTTCCAGAGCGCACCAAAATGCCGTTAACCTTCCTGCTACAGCAGTACCTATTTACTTGCGCTGGTATGCTTTCGAACTGCTAGGTTGGCAGGAGCTGGGACAGAGCAACAGGAGCTCACCTCGTTGCGCGGATTCCAACCACTGACCTTCCGATCAGCAAGCCCAAGAGGCTCCGTGGTTTAGACCACAGTGCCACTCGCGTCCCTTCAAACATGTAGGATCACACTGTAAGCACTCTTTGGATCCAAGGTGGGACAGAAACGCATCTAGTAACACCCACCAGCTCAACAGCAAAGCTAGGCACTGCTGTGTTGGATTTATTTGCTATTTGTTACTATTTGCTTTAGAAACCTTGATTGATTGCATTAAATTTATATCCCAAAGCAGGCCAGGGCAGCATTTTCACCATCATTTCAAGCTTTTCCTGAGGTTAATGTAGGCTTGTACCCATCAACCTGGCTGTGGCAAATCACTTATTTTCTCTCTCAGCTCTGGTAGGTACACCTTATGCCTGATGGGAATTATCAAAATGTGTCCTTAAGCAGAAGGCTGTGTCTCCCCAACTCTGGACGAGAGTTGATACTTGGAATCTTCAGGGTATAATGGCAGTATGACAGCTCACTTACTTTGTCCAGCACCAGAGGTTGGCACAGCTGCTAACTGTCCAAGCCTTGAGGACCCACCACTAACCCCAAAGGCCATCTGCAGCAATCCAGGCCCTGCAGTTGTCTCAAGGCAAGGCAAGGGAAACACACCAGCCACTGAGCACCAGAGCCTAAGTGGTTGTGGCTGGGACCCTTTTAAACCAACTCCACACACACATTGCCTCCGTGGTCCTGATGTGACATTGGTCCAGATAAAAGCTATGTTGGGGCCCCAGAAGCATTGTGGAAGGATAGACGTGGCGGCAGCAACAGCACGATGACTTGACTGGCTTTTCTGCTGCCGCAGCTGCTGCCTACCATGGGTGGGCAAACTAAGGCCTGGGGGCCAGATCCGGCCCAATCGCCTTCTAAATCCGGCCCACGGACGGTCTGGGAATCAGCATGTTTTTACATGAGCAGAATGTGTCCTTTTAGTTAAAATGCATCTCTGGATTATTTGTGGGGCCTGCCTGGTGTTTTTACATGAGTAGAATGTGTGCTTTTATTAAAATGCATCTCTGGGTTATTTGTGGGGCATAGGATTTCGTTCAATTTTTTTTTCAAAATATAGTCCGGCCCCCCACAGGGTCTAAGGGACAGTGGACCGGCCCCCTGCTGAAAAAGTTTGCTGACCCCTGGTTAAGACCAATGGAGGAAGAGGGTCCAGCAAGCTAAGGAATCAGTAGAAGTCCAGCAAACAAGCCTAGGCACTGGGTTTGATCATTAGGTTTAGTGGTCATCGGTCAGTAAGCTAAGTAGGAAATCCCCAAAACATACCTTCCTGTACATCATATCAAAAGGCGGCTGGGAATTGTCAGAATGATTTAGGGTGCTCTTCCCTCCCCAGAAAAGGGGTAGATCCCAGCAGCTTTGTCAAAGCATGCTTCTCTGCAATGTATTACATTACCTGTTTTTGTCTATGTTTGTGACCCGCACATAATGATCGGATGAATTTTGCAAGGTTTCATTCATGTACATCCACACTTCTTCTTCTGGCTTTGGATATGCCTCATACGACACGATTAAATCCAGGTTTTCTCCATCATTTACATTTACTGTTGTGTTTGCCGAAGTTGATAAATTGACATATCCTTTACCTGGTGGTTGTCATACGGAAAGATAAAAGTAATAATAATTATCTGGGTTTCTTTAAAACTGTGTATAATTAAACCAAGGTCAGCAGAGAATAAGCAAACTTTACTGACAAGTATGGTAGAAATTGCAACCTGTGGAAAAGCAGGCCTTATCAGCTAAATGCAAGACTGAGCGTCAATGACATTTTACTGAGTGAGGTGAGCAATAACTCTATGCTTCACAAAGGGATCCTGAACTTCTGTACAGGCATTTTGCATGACAGGCCTAGATGTAGCCACTGAGTGGGACGCGAATGTCCACGGGACGTTATTTATTTATTTACTTCTGCATTTCTTGGATTTAATTTATATCCTACCCCTTGAAAAATATACAAGACCTCAAGGCAGCCCACAGCACAAAATGTCATAAGAAAACGTAAATATAAAACAGTAAACAATAAACACATCTACAACACCAACGTGAGTCATCAGTAAAATGAGCTGTGCAATAGTACAAATAAACAGAAAGCTTCTTGAAAGTTATCTTGTTTTGCCATTAATGTTGCTTTATACGTCAAACTTTAATTGTACATTTATATTTTATTTTTCCATGTATTTATATGTTTAGAATATTTTATTTTCCTGTTTATTCCACTGCTTTAAATATGGAACTTTATTGTACTCAGTATCTGAGTTTCATTTGTCATGTTTTATGCTGATATTTTGTAATATTCTATTTGATGTTTTGATCTGCTTTGATTTTTTTTCTTCTTCAGAAAATGTAAAGCGGGGTATAAATGCTTTAAATAAAAGCACTTATAAAGTCAGAACCAGCAACATGCATTGCATCCAGCAATCAATAAATCCCTTTTTGCCCAGGTGTGCCGTGTTCCCATCCTATTTCTGGGACAGTGATAATGAATTCGGTCCAGTGGAATATCCACTGAATCAAGAGATGCTGCAATGTAACAGCTAGGCTTTATTCATTTCGTGTGTGAAATTAAAAGGTCTACGAAGCAGAGTGGTGGTGGTGGAGGAGGGGGGTACCCACCCTTTTCGCCAATTACGGATAAAGACATGTTCAGAATACTCCTGCTAATTACAGTACATGAATATGCTCCTAATCAGTTTAGCACTTATGGTAATTTTAATATTTAAAAAGTACTACATGTCACTGCAATCCCACACTCTGGGCTGCTTTTCAGGAAAGTATGTTAATAAACAGGGCAATGTAAGCACCTTTGGTGGCTGGTTGGCAGAACTCATCTAGAGTTCATGAGACACAATGGATCAGGCTTTTTAGCGGGCTTTGGAAATCAAACCTTTCATGCTAAAATGTACTTTTTGGGCACACTCCAGCACACTTTGGGGAGCAGCTTCTCTCTCATATGGTCAATTACCAGATGAGAACTTGTTTCCTGCGTTTTCCATTTGCAGAGTAAAAAAAATCTGCTAATGTATAGAAATTGGATCATCTCCGCTGCAGTGCCCATTTTACCAGGTTAGCTTTTCAAAAATTGCTACCAAGTCCTGCCACTGTATACTCTTTGTGAAAACCCTTTCAGACAAAAAGTCACACTGAGTTCAATGGGACGTACTCTCAGGTAAGCGTGTACAGAATTTCAGCCTAAGTACGTAATATGCAAAGGCCGGTACGTAACTATTTTATTGTGTGTTGCCTTTGGTGAAGAGATTTATAAATGGAATCAATCAATCAATCAATCAATCAATCCCCCATTCTGTAATGTTACTCAGTGAACTTTACATAAAGATGCAACATGGTTACAATTCTATACTCTGACATAGTAGCGTAGTTCATATATAAGGTGAAAAAACCTTGGTCATAGCTTGCTTGCTGGAGCAAGACAAACCATGAACCCAGGTTTAGACATAATGCTAAGCCAAACCAAGAGTTTGTCCTGGGTACCGTATCAGCAGCAAGACCGTGGGAGCGGTGCTGCATCCATGATATCTGGTTCAGGAACCCCAATGTTCTCTCAATCAAACCAAGTCATGTTTTGACTTAAGTGTTATGTGTGAATCAGGTCGGTATACTACAGGAGAGCCTATCGCAGTGTGCAATTCAAAAAAATGGTTTACACAAAGCTACTTGATCATCTATGGCAAATGAAACTTTGTGAGAGTAGGAATGCATTACTGGATCACAGCCATATACCTTTGCAATGCCAAACCCATTTACAGCACAGAGATGGCGTAAGGCCATAGATGTTTTTCATGTTGACTGAGGACTGACTGACACACTGGCCGAGGTTGACTAACCAAGAGATAAAGTAAAGGTCAGGGAAAAGATGGATGAAAAGATAATGGATGAAATCCACAATTTCCAGAAACAATCCCTCTGACTTCAAGGAGATGTGGAAAAAATAGAATACCTGGTTTGTGGATTGCAGGCTGTTGTAGCACGTAACGCCAAAAGTAGCTATGCTATCTTACTGGTAGGTGGGTCACTGTTGCTTACTGGGAGAGAGAGAAGTGAAGTGGTGGGAAAGCTGGTGTGGTGCACATGCACTGGCAGGAGCACGAAATTGGTTCCACTGGTGCATTTTCACTGCACCAACCTCCCTGTCCACTCCCGGTGAGCAACAGGGACCCATCTGCTGGCAAGCAAGCATAGCAGCTCTGCCCCAACTGTTGAGTCACCTCCGTGTAATGCTTCTTCTTAAACTGCATAGGCAGGCATGGGGCCCAAAACGACTGAAGCTAGACTACCTTACTTAAAAATAGCATAGAGGCTATGACTTAGGAGAAATCAGACTGTACAATGACTGAGGGTTCTGCATTCCTACAATACACATGCATAATATGCTTGTGAATGTCCCAGTTCTTAATTAGGGCACCACTAAGGGTCTGTGTGGCTAATTTCTCCTTTGAAAGCAGCAGTACTCTTGCTGAAGGACAGAAACAATTCCTACACTCACATGTTGTGTCTTAGGCCCAGTTCACACTTTGCATCTTGCAGAACAGGTGCACCTCCGTAAGACATTCTTATGAGGTCAGGGAACCAGGTTGCAATGGCAAGATAAACAAGAACAGCTCACACAGGTCTACAGTCCCACAATGAAGGGGTGTGCATGCATGGATGCATGCATGTGAGTCATGCAGGGTCAACTGAATGGGCCTTTCCTATGGATTAGCATCCTTCTGACAGGAAGGTGCTGATCCTGTGAGAAGGGTCTATACGATCAACCCTGTCATCACATTATTTGTATTGTGCCAGCTGGGTGTACACACAAAGGACATCCTAGTGGCTTCTTAAAGGGGTGGTAACCACATAGGGAAACCCAAGGGTGCTCTCTTTTGTTGACCAGGAGCAGGACTTTCTGTTGCCACATGCTAGTGCACCTGTTTTCACACTGTAATGTACACACATTGCAAAACTTGCTATTTGATTTTTGGCATAACATAATATAGTATTATATATATCTATATATTTCCAACCATCTCAGTCTGTATGTTATATTCTCCCCATGGCACAGACATCTTATATATCTGCAGTATTACTATTTACCTAGTACTTTCAAGGTTATAGTGGAATTGATTGTTCCAAAAGTGTTTCTTCCTTGGCACACAAATGCTCCAGAATCATTAACTCCCACTGAACTGATGTTCAGCTTTAATTTCTTTTCATATCCATAAGCGCCCGTATTCCTGCTTCTCCCTGTAACAGTCTGTCGGCAAGGGGGAGAGAAAAAAATTAACATCCAAGATACAGTGTATACAGCATCTTTCCTAGATAAATTAAAAATAGATGTAATTATAACTTTGCCATATTAATATTCATAACTTAAAACCAGAATAATAAGCCATCATGACAAACCTGTCACTGGAACCTCTCCATACAAAACAACTACGTTCTCAGAGCTCTCTTTTAAAAAAGCTGAACTCACTCCCCCCTTCCCCCCCCCCCTTTTCTTATTTCCTTTCTTCAGATCCACTCCTACATTCTTGGTAGTCTGCCTTCTAATTAGGAGACTCTGTAGACTCTTCCCAGTCTTACCTCAGCAGCAAGAAAACCATTACAAAAGCTTGTCTTTTTCCAATGTTGCTTCAATACACTAGGGGAACATGGGTCATGCGGTAGGGGCGGAGCCTACAGCACCGCTCTTTCTCAGCACTGAGATGACATAGCCCCAGTTCCCAGAAACACTGCTTTGGTAAGTTGCCGTATCAATGTCTCCTCCCATGTGGTCCAGAGACATTGCAGTGGCTCTTTCATCACCACTGAGGTAGCACTGGAGGGATTGCAGTCTTGGCCTGGCAAAATTCCACATCAGGGAAACCTGGATCTCCAACAACTGAAATTTTTGGTCATGTAATTCTGGTCCACCAGCCACTGGTTGGCAGTAACCAGGGTTAGAATTGGGCACCAATGAACTGCTTGATTAACTGTCACCGTAGCAGCAGAGAATGCATGTTCTGGCCAAGGGAGGGAGCATCCATATTTGAGACCGGCTCCTGGTTTCCTAACCACATTTAGCAGGAAATCCATGTTACCAGCCCACAGCTAAATGCCAATACTCTTTCATCTCTCATTCCAAATTTAGCAGACTGACTCCTCTAACACTATTTCTTAAAAATAGGGCTGAAAGTATCAGCCCTTCCCCAATATTTCAGTAGCTTTTAATTCATGCAAATGTGGGGCGGGGAAATAGAATGAACAAACAAAACTAAAGAGTATGAATCTGAGTACATACGAAAACAAGCTTTTGCATGAAAAATTTATAATGCTCTTGGAACTGTCCCAGATCTCCCATCTGCAGGTCCCATATTTGACCGCATGCTGCTGAGGCTCAATTCACCCTTGGAGTGGGTGAGTTGCGATTTGCCAACAGATAAGCACTTAAGAGTCAGCAGCTCTGCTGAGAATGGGCTCCAGGGACAGATTACCCAGGACGTATCTCTCCCCCCCCCCCGAGGCTGTGCGATTCATCTAGCATTACAGTGCTGCCCTAGTCCTTTTCTGGGTACACATGAATCACTGATTATATATTCTAATCACTGCCATTAACAGTTGACAATTAACCGTGGGATTGTACTCAGCAAGGTTAGACGTGACCTTCTAAGAAGTTTTCCATGCATGCTTAAATTACAAGATATGCCACGACCAGTGATTCAGAGCAGAGTGGGTGTTACCCAAAATAAAATAAAAATCAATTCCACATAGGTAAGGGGCCTAGCAGCACTGGGACCAAATCCCTTGGATGACTCTTCCTGGCCTGCTTGTTTTACTGTCTCTGGCCTACTTGTTGCTCATCGACTTCTTACTCATGATGACCAAGCTCAAATTGGAATTGGGCGCAGTTAACAAAGCAATATCCCCTTAAAAATCAGAAAACAGGTCAGTAATTTTTAAGCCCCAAAGAGCTTTTTTCGACCTTCATTAGACACACTCAACAATTGTTATCAGGAGCATTATGGGGTTGGAATTCCCGCTATGAATCCCCATTAGCCTCAATCCCACCATATATTCTTAGCTGGCCGCTGCTGGAGCTATAGCTATTGTCCCCTGGTATTTGGGTCTTTGTTACAGAGGCCAACTCTTCTACCATGAAGGGGGAATTGTTGTTGTTGTTTTTTACAACATTACAGTCATACCTCGGGTTGAAGTTGCTTCTGGTTGAGCGCTTTCGGGTTGCGTTCCTCGGAGACCCGGAAGTAACAGAACGCATTACTTCCGGGTTTCGCCGCTCCCGCATGAGAAGACGGCCAAAATGACATCACGTGCATGCATGGAAGCAGTGAGTCGCAACCTGCGCACGTTGCATTTGCTTCAGGATGCGAACAGGGCTCCGGAACGGATCCTGTTCGTATCCAGAGGTACCACTGTATGTATTTTCATGTTTTTATATTGTAAACCACCCCTGTGGTCTTTAGGTGAAGGGCGGTATGGAAATTTAAAAAATAGAATAGACATAAACACCACCACAGCCAGGTAACAGTAGCAGCAGGACAAAAGGAACAGCCACAGGCAAGTGGGTCCCAAGGGAGTGAATGTGTGTGTGTGTGTGTGTGTGTGTGTGTGTGTGTGTGAAGGATTGAGGAGCTCTGGAGGCTGAGATTCGGATTATGAATCAGTGAGATCTGTGATTCCTTGCCAAAGAACTGTGGACTTCAAAAGCATTGTGACTTGACATCCAGGCCTTTCATGCGGTAGTAGTGCTGCTTTAGGCTCCTCTCATGTGTCTGGCTTTCTCAAATTAAAGCCTGACCTACTTTTCTGCATTGTTGCTCTTTGGTAAAGTCATGACCACATTCAACAGCAGCCTGCAGTCTTTGCTTTGACTTCAAAAAGTTCTTGGCTGGGAACCTCTATGCATTTGAACTTTGCTGGGTTCCACTCCGGGGAATTGGTTCTTGCTCATGAATAACAGGGCCCTGATAGGTGATAACTACTGGATCAGCTTCTCACCTATGCCAGCAATTCACAGAAGCACTACCAGACTCAGGAACCTGCAGCAACCTGTGAATATGAGTTTGGAGCTTTCTCAACCACTGCCTCGATTCCTAAAGCCATTGCGCTTTCTCTCCCTGAACTCTCATTCTCCTTGCCTTACTGACTGGCTACATGATTCAGACCTGCCCTTGAAGCCTGCTTCCTAGGCAGCCGCTGAATAGTTTTCCCTCTATAAAATGGTTCCTGGGATGCTAACTAGCATACAAACGCATTTAAGAAGTTCCCAATGCAATAATTTCAAAAAGCAAAGGAGCTTCAGAGTCTAGCCTGCTTTACCTTAACAAAAGTATGTTTGTGTTAGGTTCCTATCATGTATTAACATGTAACATGTATTTACCCCTTGAAAATGGAAGTCCCTGTGAGGTCTGGCAGGGTGGTTTTTTTTTTAAGCAGTTCTGCACTTGTGACTTCAAATGCACTCAGAGACATGGGCTTATATCAAAACTGGGTCTTTTGTCTAGATAATAATAAAACAAAAAGAATGAATGACAGCAGGGTTGGAAATATGGAAACGCAAGAATGGCCAGAAGGCTCAAAACAAAGCAAGAAGTATTAAAGTAGGGAGGAAGAAGGATAAAGCAAGAATGAAATCTGAAGTTGCAATAGGGCCTATGGTACCTACTGGGAGAGAATGACTTCCTACTTTAAATAAATCCTAAAAAAAAGATGAGAATTTTTGTGAGTAGCGTCCGGTAGCTGCTGTCAGTCAGAAGGAAAGAGACAGATCATACAATTCCACGTAGGTTGTTGTCATGCCATGTGTGGCAGAAAGGGTAAAAATCCACTGAAAGGCTAGGAATCCACTGAGGTATCTTATTTGAGACTTGTCAAGGCTACTGCTCTGGGTAACGACACTTCTCAGGAATACTGTTTTGTCATAACTAATGAAGAACGCACCCCCAATGCGATCCTGTGGTGTGTTTTTAAGATTGTTCTTTCAAGTACATTAGTTGAGACTGATGGGGTATAATGAACTCACCGCGCTGCCTTGAAAAATCCAATTAGCTTGCAGAGTGCTATCTACATCCTTGATTGTGCATGTAACTTCAAATTCTTCACCTTCTTTGAGAAGTTGGTTGGTTTTGGATAAGGAGATGGCTGGAAGGGATTTGTGAACTGGAAAACAATTTAGATGTGCATTGTTTTTCATTACATGCAGTGCCTCCAAGAGAGAGGAGGGGAAAAAATCAAAAGTTATTAACCTCCTAATAAAATATTAGACCTCCTAGAGGTATTTTAAATTTCTGTAATGTATTTGAATTGTTCTTTCATGCCAAGTACATCTCTTAGTTAAAGTATGAAAACATTTATAGGCACTATATAGCATGCACAGATAAGCATACATAATATTTAATCCTGCAAAGACTGAAGCATAATCAGGAAACTCATTTCATGACTATTTTATAAGGTTACAACCCAAAAGCCTTTCCGTCCACTGATGGAAGCTGAGTGTACCATCTGAAAGAAATAATTATCTAATTATTTTACCCTTGTTAACATGCAATCTTATATAAAGGTATACCAACTATAATGGCTGCCTGAGCTGCAGGAAGAAGTTTGTACACAATAATAGCAGTCATCAATATGGTTTTACTAGATATTCCAGTAAAGAGGAATTACCTGCCCTCACAACTAGTGTGATAAATTCTGACACCTTCTCCTCTCCATTTTGATACGCCACACACTGGTAACAACCAGAAAATGATCTCTGTACATTCTTTATGGTAATTCCTTTCTGAAGATCAGGAACTAACTCCATATTCCCAGGCAGAGGTTTCCCGTGACACCTTTTCAAAGTGAAACTTGAAATGTCTGGATCTGTCACTGGACATTGAATGAGAGCATCACTATCTTCCATCGCGTATGTGACAGGCTCATGAAAAAACAGGACCGCTGGATCTGAAATGAAAACAAAAACATTTTCCCTGAAGACAATATATTAAATAATGATGATGATAACAACAACTACTACCATCATTCTTCTTCTTCTTCTTCTTCTTCTTCTTCTTCTTCTTCTTCTTCTTCCTTTTATATATTATATGCCCCCATCTGACTGGGTTGCCCCAGCCACTCTGGGCAGCTCCCAACAAAATATTAAAAACACAGTAAAACACAAATCTTCACACAAGTATTTCCCCCCCCCCAACAATTTGTGCTGTTTATGATTTTAATGTTTGCTTTTATTTATTTTTAAAATTGTTGTAAAGTGCTGTGATGTATCTTGATACACTGGCGTATATAAATATTTCTATAAATAAATACATAAATATACCGCTTAATATCGAGGTTTCCAATTGGTGTACAATGAGGCCAAAAAATAAACAGAATAGATAAAATTGGTTAAAATTAACCATAACATTGGAAAAGCTTGTTTAAAATGCCTGCTGGAACTTTAAAAAGTATTCAGATGCTACCTGAAGTGCAGTAGGGAGGGAGCTTGTCTGATCTCAGCAGAAAGGAAGTGTCTACTGTACTCCGTGACTAATGTTGGATACCACTCTGATCAAATTTGGAGCCAACCTTTTTGAGTAAGGCATCTTTTCTGCTTGTTGTGCACCTTGATTTAGGCTAAGAGGATTCAGTTTCAAGCAAACAATAGCCTGCCAGGTGCCAATGGGAATTTCACACGCAGCGCATAAAAGCAATAGCCACCCAGTGTTGTTTGCTCCCATCATCTGATACACAGGAGGTATATGTATTTCACCCGAACATTGAGAATTGATGAATATACTGAGTGAATAGTCTTGTGCTAGGGTTGGATTCTATTGTCTTGTGGTGCCCTGTAATTCTACTTGTTTGTGAAAGTGTGGACTTAGCCCTTTTACAAGCAGAGCTACAGACTCAGGCAGTCACAGTCTGAATTTTTTGGAACTATTGAAATGTCCCTTTTCTGAAATTTAGGCAATTAAAGAATTCTGTACTAAAGAACCCTTATTCATTTTTAATCATCATTATGATGCTTTCTTGCATAATTGAAAAACAAGAAAAAACTCCTCTGGGACTTATTTTTGCTGGGACTGTCCCCAAAACTTTATAAATTCACCTCCAAGTGTACCTCAGACATTTATGACTTGAAAATAACAGAATGAAAATTATGAGGATATTAACTAATGGGTTGTCAGCTGAGTGGGTTCTGAGCCTCCATGAACATTTCTCCTGATTAGTCTTTCCCAACCTTGGGTCCCCAGATGTTGTTGAACAACAACACCCATCATCCCTGACCACTGGCCCCAGTAAAAGGGGGGTCTTTTAATACCCACTTCATCTTTTCCTCTTTACTCTTGTAAACATCTCATAGGTCTCTCTGATCTCTCTGCCTGTCTTAGATCTTGATGTCATTGGCTAATCAGTTCTCTGTTACAGTGGGCCTCTTACTGTCACATGTGGTACCCACACATCAGAAGCTGACTGTAATTGGCTCAATTTGTCCTAATGTCTTCAAAGGGCTACTAACTTTAAGACCAGACAGATTTGGGGGAAATGAGAAAAATCTCACAAAAGCATCCAAAAAGAACTTCCGCAAAATTAAAGCCTTATATAACACTGTGATTATGACGAGAGATTTTGAATTAAGTCTATAGATAGATTGGGTTTTTAGCCAGAAACAGACTTAGTTGTTGCTCACTATTGGCAAACTGTGAGGCCAAAGGAAATACTAAAATTGTCTCCTTCTGGAAACTGGTGAGGTATTTTTAAGTTTCCAGGAGAACAGAGCAAATTAAATGAATGGAATTACTTTAGCTATGCTTTCCAGCTCATCCTACTGTGTGTTAGCAAGCCCTAATGGGGGAAATAAGATCACAGAATGTCAGAATTCCTTTCATAGTACAATTTCCTTTTGTTTATTTAGATTTCAGTATGAAAGGGAGCCCACACAGTAAAATTCACACTTCAGTACATTACCATGAATAGCTTTTTCCATCTCATTCACAAACAGAAATTCCTACGGAAAGTGTTAGGAGATCCCTCCATAACCTTAATATAAATTATTTTAACTGGTAGCAAAGGCATATTTCATCTACTGCAATCCTCAAAACACCTTAACAGACATACTCCTCCCCTCCCACCACAATCCACAGGCTTGAGTCCACTCTGACTGGCACGCTTGCATGAGCAGGGTTCATTATTCCCATCAAAGGCTTTATGATGCATCTATATCCGTGTGCAGAACTGCCCCCTCCAGAAAACAGGGAAGCCACCTAATGCAGGAAGCATTCTGTGTTCATTTGGGAGTACTTTTTGAGGTAAAACACTGAGAAAAGTTTCATTCTATGTTACTAATGTGGGGTGGCTATTGATTTCCTATCTGTGGATGGAACCTGCATCACACTGGTAGCATCTGCATGATGAAAACACATGGGACATATCAGTGAGAGAGATGTAGCACCAACAGAAGAATTTCCCATATGATCTGTCCCAGCGATGCAGCAGCCATTCTACACTTACCACCTTGCTGAAGCTAAGCAGGTCTTAGTCTGGTCAGAGCTTGGATGAGAGACTTAATGGGAACCAAAGGCCAATTTGGGTTCCACAATGGAATAAATATGTATATAAATGTAATAAAATAGGACAGACACTCCATACTCCCTGACTACTACCAAATAACAAACAGAACATTTTGCAAAGAAAATAAACTCTCAGTGACAGATGGGCAGCATAGATACATTTTCTTTCTGCGCAACTTCACAGAGCAGAAGAAATCAACAAATTGAAGGCCAAAAGTAATTCAAAGACATCAACCAAGCACCACAGAAAAAGTTTTGCAGACAGTGGTGGGAATGGTACCAGAAATGCACTACTAAAAATGCTTCTTGGTTCACACGTATTTCTGTTCATCACTTCCTGTCTTACATATATGAATGTAGTATCATAGTTCTAATACCACTAATCAGATGTTTCAAACCATCTCACATCACGGAAGCAAAGTTTTCCCATGAAGTAAGTTCACACATTCAACTGCCCTTCAGGATTATTGGAAAATCAATTAATGAAAAATTTAGTGATCTGTACACATGTGTGAACCAGACCTTAAGTGTTACCAGAAAAAATTAGGGAAAACATGCACTTCGCTTTTGGCGGTGCTTCCATAAATCCCTTTAGTAAGATAAAGGACCACAGAAGAGCTGCCCAGAACACATTAGAAACTCATGCTCCAGATCCTCAGCTCCCCTTATTTCACGATATTCTAAAGATGTTTGGTGTTTACGTGGGCATCTTTCCAATCAACATCAACAACAGGAACAAATGTGTCTCAAAGGGATCTTTCTGGAGCCTTCTGGCCCAGAACAAATCCCCAAACCAATGTTTCAAAATAGTGTTACTGGACCTCAAGTTTTACTGGAAGTTCAGTCCTGCTTCCAGTTTCAGCTCTGTGGCAACAGCCTTGGGCTACTCAGTAGTAAGGGGAAAGCATGCTGCTCAGATGTGCCTCTGACGACTATCATGCAGTATATACTGAGTTTTATCCTTCAAAACAAGTTTCAGCATTGATCCTTGGTTTAAACCCTATAAATACCGAGGTCAAAACTATTGGGCAGGGTTCAGTGGTTTCCACCTGGACCTCAGTGTTTGTTCAGATGTACATCTTCAACACTAGATGGCTACAACCTTACTAGATCATACACATGTGTGAATCAACCATCATAGGTATTTTACTGCCGAGATGAACTCCAGTACCTTTTGGTGTTACCTCCATTGCAATGGAGTCAGCTCCTTTTGACATCTAGTCAACAAAGTATACAGAAGACACTATGGGGTTTCTCATCAAATGACAATGAGAAAAAACTGTGCCTGATTATCCTGAAAGAGAGGAGACACAGCAGTAGCCACATGATTAGGAATGAATAATGAGGAGAGATGCAAAGGACTCTGGCCCCCAACTGCAGGATCCAATAATTTACTTGTGGTAGGTGATACTACAAGTAAATTCTCTGATCCTACAGCTCAAGGATGGCTAAGCTGTGGCCCTCCAGATGTTGCTAGACAAGCTCCCTTACTATTAGCCATGCTGACTGAGGCTGCTGGAAGTTGCAGTTCAGAAACATCCTGAGGGCCATAACTTGGCCTCTAGGTGGATCTTCACTGTCCAGTCCTGATACAGGTGGCTACATGGTCTACTCTTCTTTTCCACCACTATGTACCTATGAACATATGTACCTACCTAAACCGTACAATCCTCTTTTGAGGCCCAGATCTCAGCATTAGCACTGAATGAAGAGAGTTGGATAACTACCAGGGAGAAGGCTTTTTTGGTGGTGGCACCCTGGTTGTGGAACAGCCCTCCCAGGGCCAGTCACTATCTTTCAGTCAGCAGGTGAAAACTTTTTGATTCACCTCATGTTGTCTGTTCCTCTCTGTTTTTAAATCTGTGTTTTAACTTAGCAGGTGGGGTGAGTTTTTGTTTTGCTGTGAAACTTTTGATTTTCTTGACTTATTTTGCATTTTCATTGTTTCATTACTTATTTACTGTCGGTCATCAAGAGAACTTTATGTTACAGGACAGCATACAAATGTCGTAAGCAAACAAGCATAAACGAAACTGTGGAGCAGGGTGGAACTAAAACTGATCCAGCTGGTCCTAACCAGTATCTGAGCTCACGTTTTCCCTGCTGGAATAGATCCAGCCACCCATCTGGTTGCCAGGAAGCACAACAATTCAAATTGTCTATCTACTGAGCATGTCTATTTGCAGGCCTCAAGAGCAAGAGTCTGCATTTTTTAATGTAAAAATGTGGGAGGATTATTATTTTTTGTGGAGGGGAGGAATGTCCATGCTTCACAGGAGGGGGAAGCCTGTGATAGGCAGATGCCCTGAATTAGTTTACATGCACCACAATCCCAATCACATTTGCTCAGAAATCCTGCCATGTTCAATGGGACAGGCTCCCTAAAAAGAGTGTTTAGGATTGCAACCTAATAGGCTCATTTCAATATGCCCTTTGACATGGCCCTAAGTTCCCAGAAAGACAAACAAAGGTTTTATGCCACATCCATCTCTGGGATGCTTCTTGTCTGAGGGTAATGCGGTCTTAGATCAAGACTCCCCCGTCCTAGAATAATGGATATCAAGTAGCCTACACCTAAATTTCAGTGATAGTTTAACTGGTACACACCTAAGCATTTGTTCAGACAACCTTGTGGTGCAGCAGGTATCTGAAGGGTTCATCCAATACACTGGTTTCTTAGGGCGTGAAAACATCACATCAAAAGCACCAATGTGATCAATATAAATGGAAGCACAAACCAAGTTTTCAGGTAAGGAGGAGGGGGGAAAAAACAATAATATTTACCTTTAACAAAAACATAAATTGAGTTGTTCGATCTCTCTGTGTTTGTACATGTATATGTTCCTGTGTGGCTTGCTTCTGCTTTACTTATGTGTAACTCCTCCGTTTTTGAAATGAGGGGCTTTCCTGATGGGTCCGAACTCCGAAAATCCCAGGTCACAGTGCCACCATCACTACACAACAGCTTTAACTCTTGTCCACTATTCACAACCCAAGTGGAAACTGCTGGAATAATAGAAGGTCTGGTACCACCTGCCAAAAATAAAATTTAGCGTTTAGTGTTTCGTATATTTCCTTTCCTTTTAAAAAAAAAAATCATGTTGCACAAGCCTATGTCAGTTTGATTTGTAGTTTAATTTCTTCTCAAAAAACGATTCAAGTATTACCTCATGGCTGATGACTGAAATTTCTTGCCTGCTAAACCAGGCTGTTTTTGGTGCTCCCACAGCAGGGGAGGGGGGGTCCACGAAGACAGTCCCTGATATATCAGGTGTGGAAAGGAAGTATCTTATTTTGGAGTGGGATTAAATCTTTTCGGACAAGGCAAAAATTTCAGCATCAGTCCTCATTAGCAAACAGATGCCCCAAGGCTACATCACAACATAGTACCATTACTCCGGACATTATGCTGAAAAAGGAAAAGATGGCTGCCATCATGGGCTGCCCATGGGGGCAGCCATTTTCTTTTCCATTCAGGTCTGTGGTAATGATCTCTTTTCATGATGTAGTTATTCCCACTGTGCAGCTGTTTACTAATGAAGATGGATGTTGCTCGGCTGAACAATCTTGCCAAAAGTTAAAGCTGCAGAAAAATCTGCTGTTGGTTTAAAAAAACTGAAAAGAAACTTATCGTCCGCTGCTTCATCTGGACAGTATCTCCCTTGCCACAAAATCATGAGAATCTCTCCCTTACACTGAAATGTTTTAGAAAGTGCCTTCCCACCTTCACTGTGAAGGTGAGGAAGGACTTTTAGTATAGCTTGATTTTTTTTCCTCCAGCTCCTCCTTCAAGGCCAGGTTGTTAAAAATCCAGAAACATAAACAATTATGAGCTCCAAGAGATATAGTCACATCAGCACCATATATTTAAAGCACATGGCATCCCATAAATAACCCTGGGAACTGTACTTTGCACCTAAGAGTGACAATACTCAGCACCTTTAACAAACTACAATTCCCAGAATTCTTTGGGGGGAAGCAATGTGTTTTAAATGTATGATGTGAATCTGAAGGAAAACTGACCTTGCTAGTCTTATGTACAATTAAGAGGACTTATCTCAAAAGACATCCAAATTATTGTTCTTTCATCCAGTCTTTCTTTGTCTGAATATGGAAGAGTGGTATGTGTCCCTCAAGGTTTTACCTTCGCATTATGCCTACATGCTAACAAAGGAGGAAGAAATCTAGCTTTCCAGCTTCCTCTTCTGGCATCTGCACAGGAAGAGAACATCTGTAAGATATCCTCTCTGATGCTGTGTAGCTCTTTTTCCTTGCCCTACCCAGAGAGGTCAGCGATTGAACCGGGGACCTTTCGAATTCAAAGCATACGCTCTCCTACTAAGCTACAGCTCTGAATCAAAGGGAGTTAAATTAATTCTGGCCATCTTGGGGAGGTCTAAGTTCAGGTACCTGAGTTCAGCTACGGTGTATGTCTTATCACAGTTAAGCCACACAAACAGTGTATGTTCCCTAGAAGGGGATGCTATGGGAATTCTTTTCTTTTCTTTTCTTTTCTTTTCAAGAGATAGTTTAAATCTGACAGCTTATGTATTAGCGTTTGCTTATGATTTGTAGATGCCCACAAAGTTTAACAAACAAACAAAACCAGTGTAGCCCCATTTGGCTGACAGTGTGCTCATTTGATACCTACGGTAAGAACAATTCAATTAATTAATTATTGAAAAGAATTGGTTTTTATCAGCATTAGGGACAATGCCATCGGCTCAGCCTGCAAATGAAGTTTGCATGGATTATAGGGCAGTACCAAATTTATTTAACCGGCAACTTTAGCAGCTCTTAGAAGTACAATGGATTAAGAGGGTGTCAGATAAACACTTCAGCTAGTGAGAAATCCAAAGGTACTTAAATGCAGATGATAAGGAAGAGAGAAGGTCAGATTCTCTACAGAATCTAATCAAGCCAATCAATAGAGACCCCTCCCAATCAACAAAGATTGGAGGCCAAACTACATGTTACACTTAACGTGTAGCATGCTGCTATGTCTCTATTTTTTCCTTAAATCAATTACAGTTGCTTGGGGTGGGAGGGATTGTGACAAAAATAACAGCATTCAGGGATGATAAGACTTCTTCCCTCTTCTGTCCTCAACCCCACCCCCACTCCCCAAAAAAATTCCTACTGGCACCCCAATGGGGTGACTTTGGAGGATTTTGGTTAGGGAGTAAAGGGGAAAACCTCCTCTCCCTGTGTGTTTCGAACCCCCTCCCCCCATAAAAAACCCACCTCCATGACTGTAATTAAGCATGCAACATATTTTGACCTTAAGTGTGGTATATTGAGTAGCATGTTGGCTAGGACTAGGTTTTAAATTTTTGCTGAGTCATAAAGTTCATGGAGCCAAGTAAATACACTCAATAACACATGAGGAATAGCTCCATTACCATAGCTACAATGGGGTGTGTGTGTTATGAACCGATGGCAGATCCTGGGGAGCACCTGGTATTGCAATCTCTCCCTAATATTTAGAGAGGCTGAGAGCTGGACCATATAGAAGGCTGATTGCCGAAGAATTGATGCTTTTGAATTATGGTGCTGGAGGAGACTCTTGAGAGTCCCCATGGACTGCAAGAAGATCAAACCTATCCATTCTTAAGGAAATCAGTCCTGAGTGCTCACTGGAAGGGCAGATCGTGAAGCTGAGGCTCCAATACTTTGGCTACCTCATGAGAAGAGAAGACTCCCTGGAAAAGACCCTGATGTTGGGAAAGATTGAGGACACAAGGAGAAGGGGACGACAGAGGACGAGATGGTTGGACAGTGTTCTCGAGGCTACCAGCATGATTTTGACCAAGCTGCGGGAGGCGGTGGAGGACAGGGGTGCCAGGTGTGCTCTGGTCCATGGGGTCACGAAGAGTCAGACACGGCTAAACGACTAAACAACAACAACCAGCCTTTTTCCATAGGCAACTTCAACAACAACTACAGTGGAACCTTGGTTCTCGAACGCAATCCATTCTGGAAGCCCGTTTAACTTCCGAAATGTTCGAAAACAAGGCACGGCTTCCGATTGGTGCAGGCGCTCTGTAAACAATAGCCGATGAACCACACTGGACGCTCAGGTTCCAAAAAACGTTCAAAAACCAGAACACTTACTTCCGGGCTTTCGGCATTCGGGAGCTGAAATGTTCGAGTGCCAAGTTTTTAAGGGAGCGCTATATATATGTGACACGAAAGATGGGAAAGTATGTATCACTCTTATTATTTCTATATTCATTTTAAACTCTTTTATTCTTTGGAGAAAGTTTAACAGAAGCACATGCACACACTAAAACATTTTGAATCCCCCCCTCCAAAAAATACACATATTTGCTTTTATTTCCATGCATGCGTTCCTTTTATTTGCTTGCTTTGGCATCCATAGGGAACAATAGCTTTCTTTCACTCTGTGCAGCCATGTAATTTCCAAGTCATACAATCAAAGGCTTCTGTTTGGCTTACAATGAATCTTCTCTTCGAAGCCACCATACACCTCTAACAAGGTACCCAGCATACGTCCCCCTGACAAGAATGAATACAAAGTCACAGGACCGAGAGCAGCATTTGCAGTTCATCATATGCCCATTTATGATTCCCAAGAAGAGACAGCAACAAAAACCACTTTATGGTATTAAAAGAAACACACACCGCACATCATGGGAACATAGGAAGCCTCCTTATACTGAGTCAGACCAGTGGTCCATCTAGCTCACTAATGTCGAAAGACAGATGCTGTACCACAGAGCTACGGACCTTCAAAATGGCACAAATCACACTTGCGTTCATTGGAACACAATGTCTGACCCACCAAGCTGAACAAAGACATGCAAGTGACCTGACAAGGGTCTGTCAGCTCTCCTGCTTTCGATGTTACAGGCAAACCGCTGCACATTCAATGGGTGGCCATTCAACCTGGGGTTGCAAGCAGAAGTAAAAAGTCGCTTCGCTTTAATAAACATGCCCCAGATGAATTGCTTTGCTTTCCCCCTTCATCGGCCACCTTGTTTTAGAGGTGGGGTGATTATGCCCAGTTTGGGAGCCAAAGTTCAAAACAGGGTGAGAGCAGTCCAGCCCTAGCTCAAATATAAGCTTGGCCTTGGACATAGAAGGACCCAAACATTTCTAACCCCCAGCCCAGCAGGACCCATAACACACAATGCTCCTGGTCCAACAGCCCCCCAAATGCAAAACCAAGTACTGGCCCAATAGAGAAAGATGGCTGTAGAGGTGAAAAGTCCTCCAGATGACTCAAGAGAAACAAGCACACCCCACAATATGATGAAGACTAGAAAATGCGGCACAGGATCACCGATAAACATATTGCACATCTGTTATGATATAGGCAATATGCAAACTTGGCAGAGGAATGGTATCTTTGAATGAAAATGCAGTGTAATTATTAAACCATGGCAATATAGAAGAGTTTGGATTTGATATCCCGCTTTATCACTACCCGAAGGATTCTCAAAGTGGCTAACATTCTCTTTTCCCTTCCTCCCCCACAACAAACACTCTGTGAGGTGAGTGGGGCTGAGAGACTTCAGAGAAGTGTGACTAGCCCAAGGTCACCCAGCAGCTGCATGTGGAGGAGCGGAGATGTGAACCTGGTTCCCCAGATTACAAATCTACCACTCTTAACCACTACACCACACTGGCTCTGAGTGCAGTGAAGAGGAGTAATAGGGAGTAATAGGGCCGCAATCCCACATGGGGCTTAAAAACTGTACGGAAACCAGCAGAACTTGAGTGCATATACAGTAAATGCCTGTAGCCATACAGACCACATAGAGGAATCTTCCACTCATGGACCTCCAATACCAAAAAGGAAGAGAACACAATGTGATTGAATGAGAAAAGTAATTGTCATCAGGGCACTCACCATACTAGTTTGCTGATGGCCTCATCACATTGTTCCATGATCTCAAGAGCCATTTACTACCCCAACTGATACTGGTGACATCAGCTCCTTGCCCATGGGAATGTGCATCCTTAGACAACAGGGAGTTAACTATCCTGAAGAACCATCGGTGGTACCA